AAAATACACAGCACATGGGTGATGCTTAGAAAAGGGAGTCGGGGGATCCTCACACCATGTATTGCTGCCCTGTAACGCATCCTTCCTTCCTGTTTCTTCCCTGGTTTTAATCTCGACGTTTCTGGAAATTTGTATCTCCAGACGGATCTGCAGGCGGTTACTGACGAGTACAGCAAGGGCCTGCCCTCTAAGGCGGGTGGTGATGCAGCAGCAGAGGGCAAACAGTGTGGAGGAGGGGAGGGGAATGGAAGCGACCATGAGAAGAGCGCAGAGGAGGGAGGACGCGGAAGGGAGGAAGGGGAGGGGGATGGAGGGAGTGAGTGTGGGTCAGGGACTGCGGAGGAGGTGGAAGACGAGGAGGAGGAGAGCATGGTGAGTCTCCTCCCTCCCCCCTCCTATCCCCTCCTATCCCCTCCTATCCCCTCCTATCCCCTCCTATCCCCTCCTATCCCCTCCTATCCCCTCCTATCCCTTCCTACCCCCCTCTTATCCCCTTCTATTTCCTCGGATCACCTGCCAAATCTTCTCCTTTCCATCCCCTATGCCCTCCCACCCAACAGGGCATGTCCCAACCTGCATGCGTTGAGGCACCTCGCCTCATCCTTCCCTCAGCCTGTCTTCTTCCCACTCATCCCACCAGGACGTCTATACCCTGCCGCCCAACATCTCATGCGTTAAGGCATGACAGGCACCTCACCTCGTCCTCCCTTCCTGCCTGTCTCCTCTGACTCCCCCCCAACCAGGACGTCTACGCCCTACCGCCCAACATGCCATGTTCGCACATCATGCATAAGACGCCTCGACCTCCCTTCGTGCGCTCTCCTCCCACTCTCTCCCATCAGGACGTCTACGCCCTACCGCCCAACATGGCATGTCCGCACGTCATGGACCTGCACCAACGCATCCTCACCACCATTCGAGTACGCATGGCCAATGTCTTGTCCAGCTGTTGTGGCATGCACCACCTGCCATGGTATGTATTACCCAACATGGCATGTCCACACATGGGCCTGCACCAACGCATCCTCACCACCATTCGAGTATGTACCATAAGCAGTGACCGGGTCACACCATCCGCTATCTGCTGTCACCCAGTCATTGCGTTGTCCGCTAAAGCGCAAGTTGCTCTAGCCACTAAGCTCTATGTATGTCGGGCACATGGACTTATATCTTTCTCCTCTCCCAAGCATGCTTACTCACGCCCTTGCCCACATGCTCTGTCCAACCCCCATTGACTCATTCCCTGCCTCCTCTCCTGCACACTCCCCATGCTCCCTTCAGGCCCTTGTGGAGAGAGCAGCACAGCAGCAAGCAGCCTCCGCTGCAGCACGTGGTGACAATAGTGGTGGTGACGATGCCTTTTGAGTCAACTTCAAAGTATTCCCTGCCTCCTCTCCCACCAAACCCCCTCCATTCTCTTCAGGCCCTCGTCGAGAGAGCGGCACAGCAGCAAGCAGCCTCTGCTGCAACAGGTGGTGACAATACAGATGCTGGGGACAGCGCCGCTGGTGACAATAGTGCTGGTGGCTGTTACGAGGTGGCGGCCTTGAGAGCTGAGCTGGAGGCATGCAGAGAGCGCATGGCAGAGCAGGTGTGTTTGGGGTGTAAGGAAGCACGTTATATGCTGTGGGGGAGGGAGGAAGGGAGTGGGGGTGGGGGGAGTGGGGGGGAGTGGAGGGGAAGTGGGTGGGAGGTGGGGGGGAGGGAGAGGTGGGTTGGGGGAAGGTCAATGTGGGGTGATGGATGGACAATGTTGCTGATGTGGCAGTGGTGAGCTGCGAGCACCTTCTTATGCCTGACTGGTGACGTCTAACACCGTTTTTCGTGTATCCTCTCTCCCCTGTTCTTTTCCCGCAGGAGCTGTTGATCTGCAACTACATGCACACCCCGGGGTGAGTACACATGTATGGTGAGGTAGTGGAGCGGATGAGGTGATGTGTTTGCGTGCTTGTTACATGTACACTGATTTACGTCGCATGCATCATCCGGGACATGTAAGCTAGGTGTCATACATACATGGCATTCTATATCTTCATTGGGAATTTCGAGCTCACTTTTATCATTTCTCGTCCTGTGGTAAGCAACCCTGCTGCCCCTTGCTTCTTTCCCTCCTGTTCACCCCTGTTCCCCTCCTATGCATCCCCAACAGGAGTTCAAAGAAGCCACCACTTGATTACACCAACAAATGGACACCTAGTGGTACCCCAATTCGCCCAGCCATCTTTAGCTAGTCGCAGGCTGGGCGACATAGACTTATGACATGCAAGATGAGTTTCCAGCAAAAATCTGGAAATGATAGTTATTCCCTGTAGTTTGATGGCGTCATAAGGCACTTGTAGGATTGCAGATGTACTGTCACTATCACAATTTATTCGGTTTGCTGTGAATGATGGTCGCTGGTTGGCCAAGCTGCCTCTTTCGTCAGCATCATTTGTTTCTACTTTATCACGCCCCTTTTCCCCTTGTTCGGCAGCTTTTTGCTGTTCGGCTACACGCTACACCATCCAATCACGTGACGAAGAGAGGGTGGTTGGTGGTTGTCATTTGCGCGCGTGTGTCGCTAGGCCTGCATGCCGCACCTCTCCTTCGAGACCGGCCACATGATGAATTAAAGGCTGCCCTATGGGACAAGATGAGCTAACTGCCAATGATGTCGTTTTCCATGGCGACACCCACCCTTCTCAGGTGATGACAGAATGATGGCTGACCAAGCAAAGCAGGCCGCCCTTCGGTTACATTGCCATTCCAGCTGGTCCCTTCGCCCTGTGGTTCAGGCAGTCGTGAACGACAAATCCAAACGATTCTCTCAGAACGAGTCACCACACAAAGAGCAATCCCTCCCCCCCCACCCCCAAAACACACCACGCGATCTCCGCGAGGAAAAGTGCCCAAAGGGGTTTTACTTTCGCACGCGTCGTGGCGTCGCAGACGAGCATGCGACGAGTTTGGTTGAGATTGATACAACACAGATCGTTTTCACACCTGTCGAGTCCTCACCGGGAACTGATCGCTTGGGGCTGCGATGACACGGAGTTGACGCAGAACAGCAGCAAAATGTTGCTGTTAGTGACATCTCCTGCCATGTCAGCTTATCTAGAAACTGCCGCGCCCAAACTCTGTCCAGCTCGCCCAGTTCATCTGCCAGTCTCACGTGTAAGCAACCGCCACGCCTGCCACCATGCGCCACCAACAGCAACAAGGGGAGCTGTCAGAAAGAGACGATAGCCTCGCCAGCCAGAAAGGAACGTCCTCCGACTCTCCGTGTCCTCCGACTCTTGTCTTCTGACGGCACACTTGCGGTTCTGCGGAAGAGGGGGGGGGCCGACTGACCATCAACGCTGATAACTAGAAGAGGTTGTAAACGGTTCGATACGGTAAATTATGGTACAGGAGTGACAATCACACAAATAATTTTGGCAATTGCCAAGCTCGGCTGATTGCCCAAGCCCCTGATTCAAACAAATTCGGCCCACTCCCACAGCATCCATTTCTATCACTCAATTACAACATCAAATCATAGTAGCTCATCTGCCTTTCATCTGTTCTCTCCATGGCCGCTGCTCATTGCGAATCCACCAGCATTCCACCTGTAGGCCCACTAGCTCGTGCCACCAGCATGCCGCTTCATCGGCAAAGCTCCCTTGACGCCTTCAGACAACGCGTGAAGCCGCTTAAGATCGAGTCCCCTGCCACGTCAGACGAGCCCGAGCAAGGGGGGCCGCTGAATTTGTGGGACATTAATTATGATGAGATATTTCCACAATGTGCGCGGCTCGCGGAGCAATTCAGCCACGTGTCACTTCACCAGCAACGTACCAATGAGCGCCACGTACGGTCTAAAAGTGAAATGCCGACGGCGATTCCGCCACCAAGTCACCAGAGCCGCTTCGAAGAAATTGCCGTCCGTCTTACGTCATCGCCGCCGTCTCCGACGGTCAACCCTTCATCAGGAGCCGCAAGCTACCGTGAAATGCGCTCCCGCGTTCTCGGGTGCACTCTCGGCACGCCATGCACCGTGTCGCTCGCCAACTCGCGGCATCGAGAGGAAGGCTCACGATCGCAAGACGCTGGACGTTTCGAGGCACAGCAAGACGAGGCGGGCTTGCGTGATTGGTGCTGGGCTAGGCAGGGGAAGAGTAGCAGCCTTGGAGGAGAAATCGAAGTAGCCGAACCCAGATACAGTGACAACGGTGTGTATGTTAGCGGGGTAGACTTTAACGGCGCAGAGAATCAGCGAACAGCGGAGTTTTCCTGCCCGCGTTACCTCAGCAAGCAGGCGTCTGAACCGCGAATGTCTGGCCCAGTGTTCAAACACTACGATTGGTCGTCAGAGTTTGGCGAAGTTCCTGAACGACGAGCAAGAAGTTTCGCTCTCGACCGGTTACCCGTGGCGAGCATTTGCGACGTGTACCTCGGGCTTGACGATCTGGACGACGCTGCTTTCGCCAATGACGACGACGCCTTGTTGCCTGACGAGGTGCTTTTCGTAAGCGAAATCGGCACTGCTTGCGAAGAGTTCGCGAACGAAGACGAAATGGTGAAGGCACACACTGAAGAAGTCCAACGGGAAAAGTGACCGCGTGTTGCGAGGGCAGTCTGTTACGGGGAAATCTCTTCATTGGTGGGGCAATGCCGCAATCAGGAGTCCGGCGCTGAGGCTTCAGCGCAGCACCGCCCGATGAGAGCATGTTTTGCTCGCAGCCGTCGATCAAGGGCAATGGGGGAACCCCAGAGATCCCCTGGTGAGGAATCCTGGTTTTTAGAGCTGGACTCACCTGTAGTGTAGGCCCTAAGTTTCTGATGGATTGACATGATTTGTGGTAATAAAGGCAATATCTGCTTTGTTCCCAGCCCCACGAACAAATGTGCACTAATATAAGAGCGAGTCCTAAGTGTTATGGCAGCGGATGGCAGAGTCTAGTCTGTCGATTCCCGTACGGACAGATGACAACGGTCACGATTCGTGCTGTCATCGGATCAGATGGTAACGGATGGCAGAATTGCACTCTGGACACGATCTAAGGTTTCATGTACTGGTATTTGGGTCACGTAACGAACACCAACTGCTCAAAATCCCAGTATTGTTCAGCAACAATCCCAGCCTACAACTCTCCATCAGCCTGCTTACACAAGAGAGCAAAATCGCCACCCATCAACTCCATCACCTCCCGCCACAACACAGTGTTCCCACTCACACCCACCCCTCCCCCTCTCCTCCCCCCACCCTCACCACCTGCCGTGCTGCTGCTGCTCTGAGGATCCGCCCCTGCTGCCTCAATATTGTCAATCTCGCTACTGCTACTGTCGCTGTTGCTCTCTACAGTATCCGATTCTCTCAAGGAGTGCCGCAGAATAAGGTCCGGGGAGCAAGCACCCAGGTACCAGACCCCAGCTGCCACCTCTCGCTCCAACTGCCCCGGTGCCCAGCCTGGGGGTAGTAAAGGTCACAGTAGGTGGAAGCCAGAGGAAGAGGGAGAGGGGAGGTTGGCGTGAGATGGGAGGATAAGAGGTGAGAAGGTTAGCGGAGCACGCACCCAGGTACCACTTCTACTGCCACCTCTCGTTCCAACTGCTTTGAAGCCCAGCCTGATAGTAGACAATAGTAATGCCGGGGAGGGGGAGGAAAAAGAACAGGAAAAAGAGGAAGGGGAGGGGGAGATGCTGTCAGGGAGAGAGCAGGAGGTGGGAATGTGTGCGGAGCAAGCTGCCAGGTGCCACACCCCTGCTGCTCTGCACCTATGCACCCATGCACCCATGCACCCATGCGCCCATGCACCCATGCGCCCATGCGCCCATGCACCCATGCGCCCATGCACCCATGCGCCCATGCACCCATGCGCCCATGCACCCATGCGCCCATGCATCCACGCAACCATGCACCCATGCAAACACGCAATCACGCCCTTGCTCTCACCTGCATATCTGGCGAACCATCGGTAGTCCATGCTGTTGCTCTTCCCACTGCCCACATGCTCCTTGATTCTCGAGTACCCGCCAACATACACCCCCGGACACACCTCTCTCGCGCCCCCCTCCCCCCCCACTAGGTCCGCCACCCCGTGCAGGCAGTGCGTGGACGTTGACCCCACGTCCCCGCCCAGGTACAGCGGGCAGGCGGAAAATTCCGGCATGAGCTCCTCGAAACCTGCAAGCTGCCCGAGCGTGTACTGCGAGGGTCTGCGGGCGTAGATAGAAGAACGGGAGAGGGAAAAGTGTGGAACGAACCATAATTGGAAAGAGGTGCGAAGGGTGTATGGGGAAAGGCAGAGAGGGGGAAGGGTAGAATATATTGAAAGGGCGAGGTAAAGGATGTATGGAACAATGGATTGAGAATGTGATTCACAAGCAGTACACTGAGTGGAGAGAGACAACCAAAGCAGGAAGGGAAACAGTGCCACGTTGGCAGAGGTAGGACAGTGAAGGTTAAGAGAAGGAACGGGGTGGGATGGTGGGATGGTGGGATGTACCTGTTAAGAATCACGCCTGCTGTGCCTTGGGGACTGTGAGAGGAATCGGAGGAAACACGGGAGAGAAGAGAAAGAAACGGAAGGGGTGAGAGAACCGAGCGCATGGCAATAGTGTGAACGAGAGGACGTGAAGGACGTGAAAAAAAACCATAACCCACGTAACCATCCACTGAATAGAGTGTGTAATGAGCCAGGGTTACATTCACTCCCCCCCTCACTCCCTTCCTCACTTACTCCCTCACTCCCTCCCTCTCTCACTCTCGCTCACCCGTGCATGAGCAGGAAGATGACAGCGCGGTTGAAATACTGCTGAGACACGCCAAACGCCTTGGGATGCGCCAGAAGCACACACCCAGTCTCGGGAACTGCTATGGGGTGAGCCCAGGACTTAGGGAGGGAGGAGGAGGAGGAAGGAGAGGAGGAGGGAGAGAGTGGGGAGGGCACAGTGCCTCGTCTCTCATCTCCTTCTGCCGCCCCTCCTGCTCCCCCCCCTGCTGCTGCTGATGCTCCTGCTCCTGCTTCAGCTACATCCTCCAAGCCTGGCAGATCTCCAGCCGTTGATGTGCTGCCTGTCAAAGCATCTCCACCGTCCGTGGATCCAGATGCACCGGGCTCTTCCCCCGCTACTCCGACCTCCCCGCGGATCAGGCGCGCGCGGAACTCCCGCCAATCGCCCAGGCTGCTCACGATGTCCGCGTTTTCATCCTCGCTAACAAGATCCTCGGAAATAGCCTCCTCGCTTTTGTCCTTGCGCTCACTCGGTACAGCATCATCTGCTCTCTTGTCTGTCTTCCCCTGTTCTCCATTTCCCCCCGCCTCCCCTCCCTCCTCCTCCTCCCCTTTGTCGTCGCTGGACCCGGTTCCATCCGCGCTACCAGCAGACGCGTTACAGTGTACGCGACGGCTGGAGTTGGAATGTAGAGATGAAGAGACAAACCGTGCCGCGGAGAGTCTTATGAATAGAATGGGGGGAGTACACCAAAAATGAAAAGAGCATAAAAAAAGGGAAGATGAGAAAAACGGGCCAAAATTTACCCTACGAGCCAGAGGCCAACCCTGAGAGTAACTGGGCTGGAGCCTGAAATAGCCAATGCTGGACAATCAAAGACTAACCCAGATGTCAGGTAGTGAGACCAGTGATAATAGGTGCAATGAAGCTAACAGCTAACGAATTCCTGGCGAATCTGTAACCACAGGTCGCCAACACAATCACTTACTGGCCAGCGAAGACGCGGACGTCACCCAAGCTGCGTCCTGGCGTTCGGTTGGCGGGCACACGTGGCATAGGGGAGTGATGACGTTGGATGGCAGATGCCGGACGAACGTTCCGCGAAGAAGCGCCGTCGACGGTATTAGATGCAAGAACAGGAGTCGAAAGGTTGGCAGCGGCTGCATTGCATGGTAGCGCGTATGAGCTGATAACGAGGCGCTCCATATCGAGGATTCCGGCGCGGGAAACGGGATATGATGTTATGGAAGACCAGCGACGAGCACCGCGCACGACGGCGAACGGAATAAGATCACTACACGGCGGAGAGCACAGGAGCAGCGGCAGCCGGCAGCGGCAGTGCCGCTATAGCTATCTAACAGAACCGACCACCACTCTATGCCTCTACAGCGGATAGGCGCAGGGAAAAGCAAAGCGAAGCCTCTAATCTGGAAATTTTTAAAATAGACTGGTGGCTAGTGGTTCTTAGTAAAGACATCCAGATTCTTTGTGCCACGTCATTCCTATACTCTGAAAACTACGATGATTATCATGTGTGGTTACTCGGTACAGGATTTCGTCCAAGTGCTCCAAGGCAAGGAAACACACACGCGATTCGCGAAAGCATTTGTCTCGCCAAGTAGTTGCGAAATCTGCTGAGGGTCAGATCAGAGAGCCGCCGAGCCCGATATTCCCGAGGCCAGAGCCATGCACTTGTGGTCACCGCGCGAAACGTGGACTGACATTCCGCAAGAAGTGCTGCACTTTGATGTCCTCGCTATGAGCACTTCGACGTCATGAAACGAACAACATCCAGATATCGCTATTTTACAACAAACTCCACACAAGTCCTACAACAAAGCATGCCTTACAAATTAAATTCCCTACCTGCTCAATACGGTCTACGTAGCTGCAGGTCCATCCATCTTTATGGAGTGCTATCATTGCAGCAAGCATAGCATCAAACCATACCCGAGGGAACACATTCGGCTCAGAGCGCATTTGTATCAAAGCTACCTTTCACAAATACCATCGTTATGCCTCACTGCCACATCTCCCTTGATCCACTGAGAAAGTTGATCGGACAACGCCCCCTTCTGTCACCATGAAACGATAATGAAGCCGCTATGGATCCTTGGGAGGATCCACCACCTTTCACATCCGGAAGTCTAGGCTTCCACGCCCCTCTCACTTGATCCACTGCGAAAGCTGATCGGACAATGCCCTTCTCCTATCGCTATGAAACGACAATGAGGCCCCTAGAGAACCCTTGGGAGCATCCACCTCCTTCACATCTGGAAGCCGAGGCTTCCACGTCCCCCCCTTCTTTCCTCCACCTCCTCCCGAACCTTGCACACCGACACTAGCAGCATACGTTAAGTGGCACGTGTCACTTAGCATCTCCACCCGTTTCCTAAAGGCCTCGAGAGCTGCTTTTAGCTCAGCGTCATTCTCCTCTTTGCTCCTCTTGAACTTGCTGCTGCTGCTGCTGGTTCCTAGGCTGAGTATCGCACTGCTGCTGCGACTGTGGCCGTGACTGCTGCTGCTGCTTCTGCTTCCACTATGACCACCACCACCACCACCTCGACTCTTGCTGCTGCTGCTGCTGCTATTACCGCTGTTACCACTGCCACCACCATCACCACCACCACCGCTACGACCAGCAACAGCAGCAGCAGCAGCTGCAGCAGTGCTGCTGCTGTTGCTACTGGTGGTTTTGGTGGTGAGGGATTGGGATCGGGGGTAGCGGAAGGATGCACGGGTGGCAGAGGGAGCAGAGGGGGGAGGTGTAGTGGAGGGGGCAGTAGAGGAGGCAGAGGAGGACTGGAGAGCGGCGACCACAGCTGCAGCTTCAGTGGAAGCTTCGATGGAGAGCGCACGGAGAAGCCGACGCATAGGGCTGCGGTTTCGACCCGCCTCCTGCTGCTCATGTTGCTGCTCTTGCTGCTGCTGCTGCTGCTGCTGCTGCTGGACGTGCTGCTGCTGCGCCGGGTGCTGATGCTTGTGCTGCTGCTGCCGGTGCTGCTGCTGCTCATCCTCCACCCCCGCCTGCCCTTTCATCTGCTCCCGAGCCTCCCCCAGAGGTGCCTGCTTGCGACCCTCTGCCTTTGCGGCACTGTCGGTGGGGAAGCCGCTGGCATAAAGGCCACCAAAAGGGGCAGGAACAGCGGCCACAGCGGGGACGTCAGCTGCGGAGATATCGAGCGACAAGGCGCCAAGAAACCTTCTCAGAGGGCTCCTGTTCCGATCCGCCTCCCCTCCCTTGCTCTGCCCGCTCTGCCCCCCAGCGTCACTAGCACTCCCGCCTCCTGTTGCACCTTCGCCCTTGCTTCCTCGGGTGAGTTTCTCCTCTTGCTCCTGCTGCTGCTGCATGCTAAGAGACTCTCTTAGGCACCAGAGGGCCAGAGTGACATCAGCCGCAGCACTTACGCTCGGCTGCTGCTCCTGAGACTCGACCACAGCTGCAGCTGCTGCTCCTTCCATGCTCTTTCTCCGAGTTTTCACACCCTCTCTGCTGGTACGACTAGGGTTGGAGTCACTGCTTCTCCTTTCTTTGCCAGCCTTCCTGCTGTAATCATTTTCTCGTTCATCGCGTAGTTCTCTGCTCTCACTATCACCACTGCTCCCGCTGCTGCTCCTGCTCCTACTATCGCCACTGCTCCCACCCCTCCTGCTTCTGCTTCTGCCTCTGACGTTTTCACTCTCACTCGCAGTATCCGGACTTGTTGGTTCCGAACCTGAGCTACCCAGCTCGGAATCCTCCTGCCGGACCTGGTGCCCAGGTCCAGAAGAATGCTCCTTCTTCTTCACCGGACCAAACCTCGGGCTCGCAAGGTCAGGGTCGGCAGGACCAAGCCGGAAGCTGGAAAGTGGTTCAGAAAGCTCCGACTGATACCCGATGCTGGAAGGGTCGGCGGCGTTTGGAGCGAGCAGACCGTCAAAGGAGGGATCAAGGCAAGCGGAATTAGCAGCAGCATCAGCAGCATCAGCAGCATCATCAAAGGTGTGAGAAGCAGAGGAGGGGTGTAGGGCATGGGGAGGAGCAGGGCTGCCATAGGAGTCGCCAAGAGAAGGGGCGAGGCTGTAGCTGCGGCTCCAGTCCTCACAGGCCGCAGATGAGGGAGGCTGATCTGGGTGAGGCTCTCCTGCGTGTTGTGAGATGATGTGGGTGGGTTCCCCCTCCTCCTCCTCCTCCTCCTCCTCCTCCTCATCACCAGGTGAACAGTGGTCTGCAGACTCCTCTTGACTAGAGTGCCACTCCTGCTGCTGCTGCTGCTGCTGCTGCTGCAGTGGCTGCTCAGAAGGCCTATGACTATGCTGCTGTTGCTGCTGGGGGTCATGCCCATACTTCAGAGGCGGAGGCTGCGATCGCTGCTTCTGCTTCGGATGCCCGGGTGACCTAACCCCCTCCACTCCCCCCTTATCTCTCATCCGCTCCCTCTGCCTCTCCCTCATCTCATCCCTCCCCTCGGTTTGGCTCCTCCCCCCAAGCCTGGCTTCAGGGCTGAAGCTACCCGACCCATCGGCATCACCCACACTCCCCCTCCTCTCTCTCATCCTCTCCTTCACCCTCTCCCGCATCCCCTCCCTTCCTTCCGTGTGGCTCCTTCCCCCCAGCCTAGCTTCAGGGCTAAAGCTGCCCAAATCACCACCACCACCCACACTCCCCCCCCGCCCCTTTTTCCGCTCGCTCATCCGCTCTCTCGTCTCCTCCCTCCCTTCTGTGTGGCTCCTCCCGCCCAGCCTGGCTTCAGGGCTGCAGCTAAACGCAGCGCGCTCGATCTCCTTCCCCTGAGACGCAGCACGGAGGAGCGCCCTCTGGCTGTCGGACCGGCCTGCCTTGCTTGGCTTTCCTGACTTGTCAAACTTCTCCGACTCCTCTGTCTTGCCTGCTGACCTCATTGGCTTCTCTGCCTTGCTAGACTTGCTGGGCTTATCCACCTTATCCGCCTTGTCTGTCGCTTCGGTCTTGTCTGCCTTGTGTGAGGCCCGAAGAGGGTCAAGGGTCTCACCGCCGCTGTTGCGGTTACCGCCTGTGCTGTTCGCAAAGCACAGATCCGGACTGTAATCCCCGTCCCCAGCCGACCCATTCAGTCCCACCCCTCCATAGCTCACACTGTTCACATGGGCTCCCCTGCGCACCCTACCACCACCCCTGCTGCTGCTGCTGCTGCTACTGCTGGTGGTACCAGTGGTGCTGGTGCTGCTGCCAGTGCCACAGAACGCCCCACTGCTGCAGCCAGTGCTGTTACTGTATGTGCTGGCGGCAGCAGCAGCGGCAGCAGCTTCAGCGGCGCTCAGCAGGTTGTTGGGATCTGAGGTACACCGCCCCTCTCGGGAAGACGGGCGGCTGGTTGGGCGGTAAGTGCTGGTACCAGAACCACCACCACCTCCAGCACCAGCAGCAGCTGCCGCAGCGGCTTCTGCAGCACTTAGCAAGTTGTTGGGGTCTGACGTGGCTCTACCCTCTCGGGACGAAGGGCGGCCGGTTTTAGGGTTGGGGCTGGCATGGAGTGAGCGAGAGAGAGGGGAGGCAGAGGGAGAAGGGACAGGAGGCAAGGAAGAGGACGAATATGGCCCGGTGCCTCCTCCCCCAGTTGTGCCTGCCCCAGTTGCGCCCGATCCAGCAATGGCTGACCTCTCTCGTCTCCTCACATCTCCACTGCCGTCACCTTTCTCAGCGCCTCCTTTCCCAGTACTGCCGCCCCCAGTACTACCTCCCCCAGCACTGACTTCCCCAGCACCTCCGCCCCCCACGCCGTAGCCTCCCCCTCCCCCTCCCCCTTCCAGGCTGGTGGTGCGGGAGAACTTGCGCTGCAGGGAGCTGCCGCGGTGGCGCTCCCGGGGGGACTCAGAGGACGGCTTAGAGGCGGGCTGCTTAGAGGGGAGGGAGGAAGATTTAGAAGACGTCTTCGAAGAGAGCCTGGCGTTTCCGGACGAAGGGGAGGAGGCGGTTAGCGGGGAGTCTGTGTGGGATGAGGGATGGGTGGGGGAGAGGAAGGGGGAGAGGGAAGGCGGGGAGGCGGAGGGCTGGGCGGTGGTCGTGGCGGTGGTGGAACTGGCGTCCATGGCTTCGGATGCGGAGGCGGAGCGGGGGAAGCGGAGGGAGGAGCCGCGGCGGGAGCGGAAGATGACAGGGACGAGCACTCGATGGGGCTGCGCCTGCTGCTGCTGCTGCTGCTGCTGCTCCTGATTCTCATGTTTCTCAAGATTCTGACTCTGCTCCTGCTGCTGCACTTTCTGCTGTGATCTCCGCTGAGGACCGTCCCTTCCTGGAGATCCAGCATCGTGACCGTCCAACTCCTCTCCTGTCAACGAGTGCTCGGACGGCGACGCAGGGCGCACAACAAACACGTCAGTCTGCCCGGCGGCTGACACCTGGCTCCATGGCCCACCCTGCCCGGCGGCTGACACTTGCTTGTGAGCCGCGTCAAAAGCAGAGATCTCACGCCACAGCCCAGCCTGTCCCCCACCCCCACCAGAGCCCTGATTCCAGGGCTCCAGCCCCGACCCTGCGTTTTCACCTGAGGCACCTGCTGCTTCTGCTGGTTTTTCTCCTGCATCCGAGTCCTTTCCGGCAGAAGCAGAGAGGTGGTGGGAGAGGGGCGAGGCGGAGGAGGAGGGGAGGTGTGAGGGAGGGGAGGAGGAGGGGTGGGGATGGGAGGGGGAGGAGGAGAAGCTGTAGCAGGAGCGGTGAGTGGGAGGGGTCGGGGGGCGGCCGGACTGGAGAGCCGCGGGCTTGAAGGCGCGAGGGGCAGGCGGGTCCTGCGGGGAAGGCAGGGGAAGACAGGGGAAGACAGGGGAAGACAGGGGAAGACAGGGGAAGACAGGGGAAGGCAGGGGGAGACAGGGGAAGACAGGGGGAGAGAACACGGGGGATGGGGAAAACGAGGACAGCGCGAGAAGGGGAAGCGCGGGGGGAGGGGGTTGGGGAGAAGGAATGGGGAGGGGGGAGACGAGGGTTTCAGAGGTCTAGAAATGCATGTGTGTCTGGACGGCAGGGGACGGCAGGGGACGGCAGGGGAAGGAAGGGGAAGGAAGGGGAAGGAAGGGGGAGGAAGGGGAAGGAAAGAGGGAGGAAGGGGGAGGAAGGGGGGGGAAGGAAGGGGAAGGAAGGGGAAGGAAGGGGAAGGAAGGGGGAGGAAGGGGAAGGAAAGAGGGAGGAAGGGGGAGGAAGGGGGGGGAAGGAAGGGGAAGGAAGGGGAAGGAAGGGGAAGGAAGGGGAAGGAAGGGGAAGGAAGGGGAAGGAAGGGGAAGGAAGGGGAAGGAAGGGGAAGGAAGGGGAAGGAAGGGGAAGGAAGGGGAAGGAAGGGGAAGGAAGGGGAAGGAAGGGGAAGGAAGGGGAAGGAAGGGGAAGGAAGGGGAAGGAAGGGGAAGGAAGGGGAAGGAAGGGGAAGGAAGGGGAAGGAAGGGGAAGGAAGGGGAAGGAAGGGGAAGGAAGGGGAAGGAAGGGGAAGGAAGGGGAAGGAAGGGGAAGGAAGGGGAAGGAAGGGGAAGGAAGGGGTAGGGAAGCTCAACTGCGCATCCGCGTTTGAGGCGGATTGGGAAAGCGCGTGTGAAGGTCCACTTTAAGGCACGAATTCCTGCGCGCGGCTACAATCCGTCCTCTCTTCCGTCCTGCCTCTAAACAGCCGCGTCTGTGAGAGAATGATGCCGCATTCTATATCTTCTGGTGCTTCCTTTTCCGTCTAGCCCTCTGTTTCGACCCCATCACTTCAATCGCCTATCGACGCCTCGTTCTTGCGTGCCTTCGGTTCTGGCATTGCTTTCCGACCATGCACAATGGGTGCGTCAGTAGAGATTACATCGTCGAAACTCGTCAGTGCTTCCATGTTCCACACATCACGAGTCACGTGCAAACACGTGCTCACACGTGCAAACACGTGCTAACACGTGCTCACACGTGCAAACACGTGCTAACACGTGCTCACACGTGCTCATTTCCAGGCATGGTTCTGTTACCTATGCTTCGGATATGCTAACATAGACGAAAACGCGGTATCCATTAATTTTCGTGCTCCGCCTACACTGTGAGTTTTATCGAGGTACCCTCTCACCTCTATCGGGGATAGAACCTGTCGACACTCACCTCTGTCGGAGATAGCGACGATGGATCCACGCGCTCAAAAGCCTGCGACCCGGCTTTCCGTAAAGCGCGCTGCATGCTGCTGTAGTTCCCCCCGCCTTCCCCGCCGCCTATCCCGCCGCCATTTCCGCCGCCTCTCACGTCGCGAGGGGTCTCTCCCGCGGCGACCGACGCACTTTTCGGGAACCGCAAACCCACAGCGCCAATGCCGCCGGTCGGTTTCGGCTTAAGCTTCGGAACGAGTAAGTAGGAGCGGCCGGGGAGTAGGAGATGGTCTGGGGGGAGAGGAGGAGGGGACTCGTCGCGAGCGTCGCGCGCGTTGCTGATGGCGACGATCTCGTGCTCGGGGTAGTAGCGGAGGACTTGCGAGACTGGCTGCGCGCCGCTGAACGCGTCTATGGCTGCTTCGCCCATGCGAATGGAAAGAGGCTTGTCGCTGTAGATCGCCATTGGCTGCTGGCTGCTGGCTGTTGGCTAAATAATAGGATAATGACGAGGAGTGTAAATAAAAAAATGCAGAAGCTAAGCTCCTAACGCATTGTGTTCTAAGAATCTAATATGTGAAGCAAAAAATGCTGGAACTGCACGAGACCGTCTGTAATATAAGAATGGCTCAGCTTCGGATACCTGCATTTTCAGGCCACATTTCTGGTCGAATGACAACAGAATGACATTGGGAGAGACTTTGAGATCCGGCACGGAACGCGGAAGAGCATGCCCGATGGTTGGTTGCGGGCTGATATAAATCACGTCCCCCTAAGTTGCTCAACTAACAGACTCTAAACTGCAATAGAACTCCCATGGTGACTGGCTCACTCAAGCTCCAGCATAGCTTTCAATCAAGACCCACACACAACCTGCTGTGTGCAGTGGGATTCTGTTCCTCCTACAGTATCCCACTCAACCTTCACTGCCACTCACAAGTTCACACACATACACAACTCCGCCTGGGCTGGGAGGGAGACTGTTGATCACAACATACAGTACACCTCCTCCACGGAACACTCCATAGCGTTTGACTCCAGATCCCCCTTACGTTCTATGCGAAACGCTGGCGAAAATTTCCTCGAGGTTTTCGCAATTCACGACAACCTCACGGCTCTCGAGTAAGACACTTGAGACCTAACAGAACAAGATGCTAGCGGCCGAAAAAATACCGTGGAAGTAACCGTTACAATCGTTTGCCAGGGGTTACCAGCACTACCGATACTCTCCAGCGCGGATTGGCGCTGAGTGTTCCGGGGAAAAGGTGTTCAGTGCAACCTTGGGAATTCCACTTGCCCCGGCTCTTCAACAACAGGGGGGGCCATGACCATCAGCTCACAACTCCGTCACCCAGATGATGGTGGCTGACCCTTCCTTCAGTGGTACATATCGGTGACTAGTGGTGTGACAGATAACGACAGGCAACAGTTCGGTGTCAGCGTTCCTTGTTGCTGCCACGCGAACTGCTTGGCAAGAGCCATCCCTGATTGGCTCAGCTTCACGGCGAAGCTTTTCGTCAACCCATGGGTTTTGGTGATGCGGTCAGGTGGTAGGAATGCCTGCCGAGCCCAGTCAGCCAAACCAGGAGTCCCTGACACAAGCTGCAACTTCTGTACATACTGGCCGCCAAACAAAGGCGAGGCAATGGTCCCGTACGAACTTCCCACTGGCTGGAGCGACATTTTTTGTTTGGGCAGTTGAAGCCCAGCCTCGGCGCGACGTCCATTGGCTTGTTCGGTTTGGCAGCACCTCAGGTGGATGACTCGGTAGCTTCGAAAAAACGCCCGGCATGATTCCAACGACCAGGCTGTCAAAGTCACGACATGCGAAACAGTGCAATTTGGCAGCAGGTCTGCTGTACAGTACTACACACTCACTTGGCTCGCGAGGCCATTGTCCGCCATCTCGCTCACTCGTTGACAATCGTGGTCAGCATGATGATGTATGCTCAAATCTCACTCAAATCTACACTTGTTTATTTTGTTTTTCTGAGCGGGTCCTCCTGTGTCGGATACAAATAGCTCTCGAAACAAATGGGCTTATACATCAGAACCGGGTTACCACCTCGGCAGCGTTGCTGTAAAAACGGGTGGCGTGCGCCGTTTGTTGTGCGAATATCGGCACTGCAGCCAATTTCGGTCTCGGGTCTGTTGACCTCTGTGCACGTTTCTCGTAGGCGCAATCTTCACCTGAGATTGCGGCTGATTTGAGGGCCTGCACACGTCAGGCCGTAGGCCGTATAGCCTGTCCATTGGGACAAGATGGCGCGTGGGCCTCGGATGTATGGGTGATTGTCTGGGCGTGAAGTGTATATGATCTTGGAACATGAGAAGATTTGGTGGAATGGAGCCCATACACAGCCTTTATCCAATGCGTAAGATTTGCATGTCGATGGGAAGCAAGCAAATTAGGTTTTCATTTAGTAGATTTAATAGCTCGTGAAGCAAAGCTACTACATGGCTACTGTGCACCTACTCCGTATCTACTCCGTATTTCTGGTCCGCCATGTTTGGTTCACAATTATTCACCAATAGCTTACCAATGACAGCAGAAGCACACTCCAAATTTGCACATTCATCAGAATCACTTCTTTTTATGACTATCTTTACCGTGATCCTCCTCTTCCTCACGTGCCTCATCAGACACATGCTCATCATCATGCTCGTGCTCCTCTGCCTTCTCCCCCTCGCCTGCCCCACTTCCACTAGTTGTCTGGGGGACACTGGACGTGCCTCGGCCACCTCCACTCAATGAAAATGTGCTGCCGCCTCTCAGTATGCGTGGAAGCCAGCTGTCAGACGCTGCATTCTCCAGTGCATCTAGGCGTGCCTTCAGCATCTGCAACTCCCGCTCCAACTCAAGGTCCTTCTGACGAAGAGCCTGTGGATGGGATAAGCCAACAGACACAGCTGGATCCTCAACATGGTTCTGTCAAAAGGGAGGACCATGTCAACATGGCACTCATCGAAAGTGAAAGACAAGTATGCAAGTGAAGGAAAAGTGAAAGAGCCGCCCTAACCCTACAGTTTGGCTAGACACTCACCTCCCTCTCTTGCCGCCTCTTCTCCTCCTTCCGTGCATCTGATATTGTGCTTCTCGTGTACTCTGCTACAACAACACCGCCTGCAACCTTTGGGGAAGGAAAAATTAGTGAGGGTGTGAGGAATTGAGGCAATTGATGATACCCACAACAAACCAGGCTCACACAACAGCAACATGCCTGCGAAAAGAAAAGGCGACCCCACCAGTCACAATGTAGCATACTTCGCACAGGGAATAACCCTAGTTGTACCAGCACTTCATGAAAGGCCCAGCCATTTCAAAACGCGTCCCGCAACTTCAGCCTCCAGAAACTACTCTTCTTTCCAGCTCCCCTGACGAACCACCTCGTAAGCTCTACATCAACCCCACAGTAATACAAAACCGACACCCAGTGTACGAGGATTAACCCAAGACCCGCAAATGAAAACTCACCCCAAAGACTACAAGCTCGCCCACGAGGTCTGCTGCTGTCTCCACTGCTTTCTCCTCTATCAACGGCTTGATGTCCACGTTCGTGCTGTAACCGTACAGCCGGCGCTGTAACCCCACATTGATCTTATGATAACTCTGCACATGAAACGAGCGAGAGGGAAGACGAAAATTCTGAGGCACGGAGTACCTGGCACTATGAAGGGGTAGGAGCAGAGCAAGATACAGTACCAACGGGGAAGGCACAAACACAGCGTAGATGAGGAAATTGCTGGAGATCTGAGAGGCACGAAGCCAAGCGTCAAGCTTGGATTCGGGGTACGATTGCGGGACGAACGGCGGAACCGACCTGCGCGAAGTTGATGATCGTTCCCCGGAACTTGGGGTGGCTCTTGGCTCTCCGCTTTATTGCATTGGCTAGCGGCTTGCTCATCGTCTTGACCGCCAGTGCGCCTAGCTTGAGGATCGGAAAAACCATCTTGATCGATCCCTAGGGAGTTTGCCCAGCAACTGGTTGCGAGCTAAATTCCTAACTTTCCGTTCCGTCTAAGATACTAAAACTACTATAACCACTGCGTTGCCAAGGAACTAGTTAGTATGGGGTAGCTGGTGAGAGGAGCATGAGTTCCCATGGGCTCATGACGATGGACTCGAGTAATGGAAGGAGCCAGTAATGACGTTGCTGATGGATAAGGGGTGCACGAGATTACACACGGGGTCTACTGATCACGACGGACCGCTGACATAAACACGTCATATAATGAGGAGAATGTTTCCTGATCGCCACTGTCGGCGCCTCATGGTGGCTTTAAGCTGAAACGGCCCCGAAAAGTACGAAGTTGACGATGCGTCTCACCAGATCTATCGCCCTAGACACGCTCCCCAGTCTCGTCAGTTCCGAAGCATCGAAAGAGCAGTAGAGCGGCTTGCAACGCCTAGGGATCGTGACTAATCAGGCAGTTGTATACGAGTCGCCTTGTTAGCGTATAAGCCTGGTGCTCAACCCCTGAGTCACAGCTTCATGCACTACCTGTCTAGTACTTAAAAACTGAGATCCTAGTCTCTAGCTCAGCATAGCTGTCATCTGATGCATTTAGGGATGCCCTAATGCCAAGTCAAAATGCTGATCACCCTGCAGAACCAGCAGCCATGCTATTCCTTCAGGCAGGGAGCCAGGGACTGCTTGATGGCCATTCAGATGTGACGTCATTCCCCGCTCCGCAGTCTCAGCCATGGCCAAACAGCCATGGCTCAGAAGCTATACTTTCGGCACTTGCCATGCCATGCGTCTTCCGCCCAATCGCAGTTGAGAAGCTACCCCGAGCCGCAGGCTCGGCTGAAGCTCGCTGGCCCATGCCAAAGGACATCAGTGAGACGTCAAACTGACAAATGGTCAGACGGGATTCCTCGTTTGGGAATCCGGTTCGGGCCCTATGGCGAATGATTCTGGTTTTGCTAACTGAGACACGCAACCACGGAGCCCAAGTCAGTTGATCCAGAACACACCGTCTAAAAGCAGACTCAGCGGGGCGAGTAACACTTCTACACAGCTTGATGTGGAGCAAAGATTCCATTGTTTGGATGTCTGGATGAAATATGAAGTTCCGTGTTCAATCTAATTTGACCTCATTCGTTTTCTCAGCTTGAAATCAGCTCCTTTTCGGCTCGCACGCCGTCGCCGACTCGCCGCCATTCCTGCAAAACGCGACGTAGCCATGGGATCCGATCAACCGCAACCGTCGCTTCAGGTGCGTTCCCTTTTTCCTCGTCGAATAAATCTATCCGTTGACCGCTTCCCATTAGGTCAAGCTCGTCGCGTTCTCTCGCATTTCGGCTACCCACTCTCCTCGCCCCACCACTCCCCTCGCTCCGACCACTGCGACGGAGCAGGAGAAAGATCGGTTCGTGCCGAAGATGCTGGCCTCGGTTCGGACCAAACCTCACCTCAACAAGCCACCTGCACTGCCCTTTTCCCAGCCACTGCCCCTTTTACATTCTTCACCCCCTCCCCCCCCCCCCCGGTTCGCTCCACCCACTGCGACGGAGCAGGTGACGGATCGGTTCGTGCGGAAGACGCCGGCGGGGGAATCTCCGTTGCTGCTTGCGCTGCACCCAAACGCTGCCCTTGTCCCACCCACTCCCCTCTCCCCACTCACCCTCCCCCCGCCACCCCCTCACCCCACCCTCAACCATCACCCCTGCAGGTGACGGATCGGTTCGTGCGGAGGATGCTGGCGGAGGAGGCAAGCGAGAAGGAGCGGAAGCGAGCGGGGAAGAAAGGGAAAGGGAGGGGGCGCGGGGAGCATTCCAGGAGGCAAGCAGGATCAGCGGAAGGATCAGCGGCAGACGGAGGAAGCATCTCTTCTGCTCTGCTGCATGTCCCGCCGCCGCTGCCTGCTACTCTGAATCCGCTTTTCTTCGGCTCTGCTGTGACGGGTCCTTCTGTGGCTGCTCCGACGGCAGCTGACTCTGCTGTTGCTGCTGGCTCGGGGGTGGGGTTTGCGGCAGAAGCAGAAGCGGCGTACAGAGCGCAGAGGAGAAAGGAGGAGCTGGCGGATATTGAGAAGACCTTGGAGCAAGTGGTGGGTGATGGAATTAGGAGTGATACTGGGGATAAGCGGGGTGATACTGGAGGCGACAGGAATACTGTCGTTTTTCATCTATGTGATTAGTCATTCCGTGCGTTTCAGTATTTTTGACACTGTCCCTTCCTCCCTTCCCTCATGTCATATAACATCTTTCCATCTCTTCTTTCCCCACATCTCCATGTCACCAGAAGTCTTTGCGGGACGACATTGCTCGTCAGCGGCAGGAGGAGGCTGTCCGTGCCACCCAAATGGCGCAAGCATTGCAGGCACAACAGTTCAGGTGAAAGCAAGTTCATCAGGGTGTGGTATCGCTCTGGTTGGGCTCGTTTGAGGCTCTGTTGCTCATTGTTTCAAGCAGGCTTGGAAGTTCGTTGCACAGAAGCACCTGAAGTTCTTCCCCCCTTCACACCTTCCCACTTGCATTCTTCCCACATTCCCACCTTCCAAATGCAGACCACCATCTCGGGTAGTGCCGTGTCAAGCTGAGAGGGAGGAATGCTTAAGATGCTACACTCAAAATCTGAAGGTTTGGTGGCAGATTATGCGGTTGCCGTGAAAGTTAATTGCCGATCTGTTGATGTGGTGGTTGGGTTGATCAACCGCTGATTGCGTGTCACCTGTGTGTGCGTCTTGCTGTTTCAGAATCCGCTCTCTTGTTCAAGCGTGGTGAACAAGTTCGTTGAGTGTTCGCGGCAAGCTCAACAGGTATGCCGAGGAGAAGCACGTTGTTATTTATTTAATAACAATGGCAATGTTTTTTGCCACCTTTCCATTTCCAGTGCATATGTCGTCGCTAACCATTGTGAGTGTTTTTGTGGGCGCCTTTTTTTTTTATCTTTCCTTTTCCATGTGCAGGCATTTATGGCTTCTGAAGGGCGACAATAGATGCAGATGCCGTTTCACCACAACATATATACAGGGTGGTACTTTATCAACATTGTTTTAAGAAGTCTGCACTGTTTGGTATGATTCAGACTGTCACATTGCTGGGTCGCAGTGTATCAAGTATGTATCGAGCTTGGCTTGAGGGAACCAGTGGGCTTTCGACTTGTGGTGGTGGGGAGACGCAGTGCTATTGGCTGAGCGTGTGGCGTGTCCTCCGGACACGTGTGATTCTAAGTGGCATCTTCCACCGCAGATGCCGGTGGAGGTTCACCAACAACGGATCGACGCACCACGATTTGACACCTAGTCAGAGCCATTTGCTCCCTGTCCACGATTCCCCGACTCCTACCGCAAATGTGCGGTAGGGTGTTCGGCAAATGTGTGCGCTACGCGCGGCGCGGCGTGGTGCATTTCCGTCCATAGGGGACGGGTCAGGGCAGGAGGACTCGGGGAAAGGAGGGGACAAGTGCAGAGGAGAGCAGGATCAAAATCAGGGCACACGTGAACAGGTTAATTACCCTGACTTGACTGAAAATCCAAGGTGATTTTGAGGCCGGTCCTGTGTTTTCCAGTGCTTTGTTCAAGCCATCCCTGAGAGAATCAAGGGGATTTATCTACTATCCGTAGGAGTCCGGGGCGGTTTTGAGGGGGCCCGGACATCTTGTTAGCCTCCAGGGGGTGTAGGAATATGTCAAACTTCCCGTGCTTCCTTTCCACCCTAGCCCAAGTCTGCTCTTCCCATTTTCCCTTAGTTTAGCGGCTGGTTTTAAAATTAGCTGCCGGAAACAATTGTTCACGCCACTCAAACTCGCCCCATCCCTCCCACCAAACCCCCTTTCTTCTCAGCCTCGGGGAAAGGAGGGGACAAGTGCAGAGGAGAGCAGGATCGAAATGCGTGGAGAAACGAGGAGCGACGGGGTACAGTACAGTAGCTAGTAGTGACTCAAACAGCACAGGACAGGAGCCGCTCCCACAATTCAGCACCACCACAACCTCTGGGAGGAGTCAGCCATTCCTGGAGCTAACTTGGATAACAAACGGCCATTGATAAAACAGCGTCGTTGTCAGCTGCCACACCACACCACCACGACCTGGGTACAGTACATTCATCCACTTACAACAATCTGCTCAGCTGACAACGGGTCTGCAGGTAGAATCGTTTTAAAACTCATAACGCAGCTCAGACGAGATTATTTCTGGGAGATTATCTTGCACGGGCTCCTTGCAAGTCGGAAGTGACGCAACCTTCCCTGAATTCAGGCCTCACCGCAATCATGGCGCCCGCAATCGCTCTCCACCACGGCCTTCGCCTTTGCTCGAAGGCGACGCCCATGACAAGACTCTCCCCAGCGCCCTCCCCGGCATCTCTCCGTGTCCGCGCAAGCCTTCCCGCGCGGGACGTCCGCGCGAGCCTCTCCCCGCGCGTAGTCTCTAACGCGCTCACGGCGCTTGAAAGTCCCGCGAGCTCTCCGCCTGCAGCGGGAGCAGCGGCGGGAGCTGCGGCGGCGATTAACTCCGTGGTGCAGAAGATGGAAACTATGGGTCTGACGGACACTAACCTCGTCTCCACCAATGAGCACCGAGCGTGGGTTGCTTCCGCGTGCGTGGCCCTCGCTGCGTTGTTCACTCGCGGCGTGGTTACCACAGTGGACGACGCGAGTGTTACAGCTGTGCTAGGTGCAGTGGCTGCAGCTGCTGGCGCGTATTTACTCGCGGATTTCGGAACAGGAGTTTATCATTTCGGCGTTGATAACTATGGGGATGGATCCACGCCGATTTTTGGACCGCAAATTGACGCGTTCCAAGGTCACCACAGGCGACCGTGGACGATCACCAAGCGACAATTCGCGAACAATCTGCACGCGCTCGCGAAGCCGATTCTGTTTTCCACGCTGCCCTTCATCTTCGTGCTACCGAATTCCGCCGAGCAGGATATGTTCTTTAGTGTCTTCCTCGCTAGCGTTATGTTCAGCCAGCTTTTCCACGCGTGGTCTCACACGCCTCGCGTCCTCCTCCCTCCTTTCGTCCCCGCCCTCCAAGACGCTGGCCTTCTAGTGTCCCGGAAAATGCACGGAGCGCATCACCGTCCTCCCTATAACGCCAACTACTGCATCGTCAGTGGCATTTGCAACCCACCTCTTGACTCTATTGGGTTCTTTTCTGGTTTGGAGAGGATGATTTTCCAACTGACCGGGGTCCCTTCAAGGTCCTGGAGTGAGACTGCGCCTGAGTGGTTGGAAGAGGGCGGGTACTACGAAGATGGGTCAGATGAGCAGTAGAAGCTTGTTTATCCTCACTGGTTGGTAGAATTCCTCATTATTTGTAATTAATATATTGAATAAACGCCAGTCCATGGTTCGAAAGCCACTCATTGTGCCTTGGTGTCGAGGGCTACAGCGACGTCTGCTTTCACTGATGGTTGAAGCGCAGTGTACATTCAAAATTCCTAACAAGTGACCTGTGGGAGACGACAAAAATCTCCTAATTTCCTAACGAGGTGAGATGTTTCTTTTTTAGGCATTTCTCATGAGAAATGGTTTCATCACTCTGCTCAGCTACCTCTAGGGCTGGTAGTGAGGCTGGGGAGGAGGGTTTGGAAAGGTCAGTGTTAGCGAATGGACGAAAAGACTCTGCGTGCGCCAATGTGTGCTCACCGCGAAAGGATGTTGCGACACAAATTTTGGTAACAGCAACCCTCGCATGCGAGTTGAAAGCCAATGTGCGATCAAGGGGCATTTTTTGCAGCCACTCCGTTGTTTCGCCAGCCATTTCCTCGTTTCAACCCGCGAGGGACATTTCACCTACGTGGAGCCTCCAAGCACCAGTTGCTCAAACCAGTTTAGCGCTCTCCACGTGTCTCTACTGGTACCCAGGATCAAAATCTGAGAAGAACCTCCAGTGCCATGTGGGACGAGCAGGAGGAAGCTCAACCATCCTAGTCAGCTTTCCCGCCAAACTGAAGAGCATCCCCCTTCCCAGGAACTTGCACCTCCATTCGTCAAACTGCGGCAGGTCAGCAAATACCCAATCCACCAATCGCTGTACCGCATCAGCGTGTTTCCCCTCTCTCCCCTCAATTCTGTGCTCTCTGCACTTCACCATTTTCCCAGCCAAGCAAGCATCTACCGAACCAGGGAAACTAGAATCCAGGCCTTGGGATTGCTGGTAGTAAAACCAGATATTCCTTATTCTGCCGTTGACGTATTCGGATTGCCGATATTTTTTAGTCGCTCATCCTTCGAGCTGCAACGTCCGTCGTAGTAGCTGCCGAACATCCGCGGAACTCTGTGTAACGCCTCATGATGGCTGCCCTAACCGCACATGCCGCTGCCTCGGTCGCCTCATTCGCCTCGGCGTCCGGTAAGGCTACCACGTCAGCAACCACACAGCAGACCACCATGGCCTGCTCAGCCCGCACCCTCCCCTCCTCCATGTCCACGTCAGCATCCGCCTCCAGCTCAGCCACCCCTTTCTTCCAGGGCGCTCGCCTCCCCTCCCTGCGTGCCACCGCACGCGCCGCCGCAACTCCCGCCGCGAAAGGCGGTGCTGTGCAGGTCCGGGCGGGCGAGATCATCGAAGTCGAGCTGGAGCGGCCGTACGGCCTCAAATTCTACCGCGGCGAGGACGGCGCGATCTACGTCGACGCGCTGTACCCCGGGCAATCCGCGATATTGAGCAAGAGGATCCAGGAGGGCGATAAGGTGCTGGCGACGAGCGCGGTGTTCGGCAACGATATGTGGCCCGCCGCGGAGTACAGCCGCGTCATGTACACCGTCAGGCAGCGCGTCGGCACGCTGCTGGTTCGCCTGGAGACCATGGGAGGTGAGTGTTTGTAACTGGTACTGTAGTTTGTAACACCACTGACTGGGTCGGTTTCGTGGTTACGCACTTCGTTTCATAGTATGGCAAGGGTTGAAACTTCTCTAAAACAGACGGAATCCTTTGGTTGACTGCCTCTGACGCTTTTTTACGGTTGAAATTTCGTTGACACCGACGGCTCCAATCAAAGTTCTTAGCCTTCACCCACGTCATCTTAACTACACGTGGTAGTATCGCAGGGCAGAAGATCGGCCCGTGGAAGAAAGACAAGTACCTGGAAGACCGGACAGAACATAATGATTTGTTTTAACCTTAACCTATTTATTATCTGCGCGTGCTTTGACATCGCAGGGCAGAGCATCGGCCCGTGGAAGAAAGACAACGACCTGGAGGAGGGGCAGAGCCAAATGCTTTACTTAATCGTCACATCTACTTCATTATCTGCCCATGCTTCCCCATCGCAGGTCAGAAGATCGGCCCGTGGAAGAAGGACAAGTACCTGGAGGAGCGCGCGGCCGGCAACTACGGCGACGCCATCCGCGAGAAGCAGATGGAGAACGCCGCGCTGCGGCAAGAGCAGGGCGAGCAGCGCGCCGAGGCTCTTGACAGCGGGCTCCAGCTGTACAAGTAAGCATCGAAGTAGCTTGATTCCTCAGGTTGCTAACACTTTCCTCAGGCTTACCTTATCCCTCGCAGTCAACCGGCCTATTCCTCATTTTTGTTACGAATTCGATTGAAGCCAACCGCTCCAGGTGACGATATCGCCCGATCCCACTGGCTCAATTCCGGATGTGTGTGCGTGTGCGCCACGTGGCAGGGCCGGCAAGTACGCGGAGGCGATGCAGAAGTTCCAGACGATCATCGGGCTCGTGCCGTCGTACCGCGAGGAGGCCGTCGCTTTTTACAACATCGCGTGCTGCTGCTCCAAGCTCAAGCAGGTGAGACCCGTCTTCCCCTAGATGCGTTTTCTGCAGCTCTAGGGTTGCCTGATGCCGTCGTACGACGTGCTGCTGCGCTAAGCTCAAGTAGGTGAGAGTCGTTAATTATGCGCGCAGGTGAAACACGTGAAGGCACCGGGCTCTGTTAGTTACGCGAGTTGATGCGCGTTGATCACCACTGATCGGCATGCTGGGTGTCAAGCTGAGCTGCTGGTGAAGGGCTCACTTGGCGACGCTCTACGTACGTGGGTAGATGCATGCGCTAAGAAACGATCCTGGCTACAAAGGTCGAGTCGGTTCTCGTCTTAGTTACAGATGCGTGGACATATGTTTGCGCTCAGCGAGGAAAGCATCTCACCTGTCCCTCGGTGTCATTTGCCAAGAGTCGCAAAGTCACATTCACCACCACATTTACTAGCACATTCACTCGCACGAGTCACGACGCTACACGGGACAGAATCTTGCTCTACAGTTTCAGCTGTCTACGAAATAGGCCGCGCACTTGGCGCCATATCTCCACCACAGTGAGACGCTGCTCGTCTTGGTTTCCCCGCTGTCCGCCGCCACCCTACTCTCCCATGTCGCATCTCCTGACCTTCGTCTTTCCTCTCCCGTGCCTGCAGACTGAGGGAGGCCTGCAGGCTCTAGAGGCGGCAATGGAGGCTGGTTTTGACGACTACAAGGTGAGACGCGGAGAGGAAACAGCAGGCTTACATGTGTGCAGGGCGGTGATAGTACTGTATGCGCTCCTCCTGTCTTGGGCATGCATGCGTCTGTGTCTTGTCTCTGTCATGTCCCCTGCAAGTCAAGTGCTGGAAGTCTGCGGAACAATGGCTGCCAAATAGCTCACTACGTCGTAGCTCAGTTCAGAGCCCTTTTTCTCATGACTTCAGTGCTTTACTGTGCCTTCTCTTCCATTTCTAATTGCAGAAAATCCGTCAAGACCCCGACCTGTCTTTCCTAAGAGACGATGACGAGTTTGACGACCTCATGGACAAGTATGACGAGCCAATCATCAATGAGAACGCCATCAAGGCACTCACTAGTGTGTTTGGCCTCTTTGGCAAGAAATAATAGCCATGTGCTGTACAATAGGATTACCTGATAATTTTATCTTTGATTTATCATAGATATGTTTTCCCCTACTCCCTAGCATGGGACACTGGGTTAGAGTTGGGTGGTACTCTTTGGTATGCCTTGTGCTGAACGACTAGGATTTTGGTATGCCATGTGCTGAACGCGTAATGGAACTGATCATAATGGAATCGATCATGCCAGCTTGTCACAACAACCTCAACATGTTCACGAAGAAGAGCAAAGCACATGGTTAGTAGATAACTGTAGCGTTTTCTTAGCTAAGTGGCAAACTTTCTTAACCACTTTCATTTTACGAGAATGTTTATAAACAGATTACATTCGCAGCCCATATCACCAACATGCAAACGGAGGAAAGGGATCGGACCAGCGTGAATCACGCTGCTGTAGCAGCCTAGATATATACGTTTCGTGAGCAAGTTAATCGTCAATCCCAAGAGAGGTTGCACTTTTGACCAGATCCGGCCACGCCACGCAGGTAACTCCATTTTCAAGCGCGTAGCTCCGTCGGGTCTCGTCCTGTTCTTCCCTCGACGGGCACGATCATTCCTTGCTGTGATCCTCTGTAGTACCGAGCGGGCGTCTCCGTCCTAGTCAGTCCCGTTACCAGTCAGCACCATCCATCGAAATGCACTCGTCAGGTTCGGCTGCCAGTCTAGCGCTCGCCGTCACGACTGCCGGCGCGGCAGCGGCAGCCGTGGTCACTTGCCGTCTGCTCTTCTCCCCTGCTCCTGCTGCTGCCGCTGAAGCAGCCTCCGAACCATCATCAGCAGAAGCCGCAGCAGATTCCCACACCGAATCTGGCACCGCGACTGCACCCACGAGAATACCTAATTCGTCAGATACCTCTATAAGTAGCGCCTTAGAGTGGCTGGCCTCCGCAGCGAGCGGGATTAAGGACCATGCGGAGCGGATCGTCGGACGCGGGAAAGCCGGAGCTGATGCTCCGGACTCGGGAAGTCTGGACGCAATTCTGTCTTATTTACCAGACGGATATAGTCTTGCCGGAAAAGCGGCTACCGCCGCCGCGATTGCCGCTGCAGCGGTGGTCGCGGTGGGCGGAACGGCGCTCGCGATCCGAGCCGCAGTCGGCGCGTCGCGAAGGAAACGGCGGCAGCGCGTGATCGGCATCATTCCCGCGCGGTTCGCATCGTCGCGGTTTGTGGGGAAGCCTCTCGCGCTGATCGCGGGCCAACCCATGATCCAGGTATGGTCCTCCCGTGATCCAGGTATGGTCCTCCCATGATCCAGGTATGGTCCTCCCATGATCCAGGTATGGCCATTCCACGCGTCTGGCACAGGTCAGTCAGGTACAGGTCAGTCAGGTACAGCTCAATCAGGTACAGCTCAGTCAGGTACAGCTCAGTCAGGTACAGCTCAGTCAGGTACAGCTCGGTCAGGTACAGCTCAGTCAGGTACAGCTCGGTCAGGTACAGCTCGGTCAGGTACAGCTCAGTCAGGTACAGCTCGGTCAGGTACAGCTCAGTCAGGTACAGCTCAGTCAGGTACAGCTCAGTCAGGTACAGCTCGGTCAGGTACAGCTCAGTCAGGTACAGCTCGGTCAGGTACAGCTCGGTCAGGTACAGCTCAGTCAGGTACAGCTCGGTCAGGTACAGCTCAGTCAGGTACAGCTCAGTCAGGTACAGCTCAGTCAGGTACAGCTCGGTCAGGTACAGCTCAGTCAGGTACAGCTCGGTCAGGTACAGCTCGGTCAGGTACAGCTCAGTCAGGTACAGCTCGGTCAGGTACAGCTCAGTCAGGTACCGAAGCTGTTGCTTCGCTGCCTTTGCTCTTTCCTCCTCCTCCGTTTTTCTCCCGGAAACCCCACCCCATGCCCCCTCCCTTTGCTTCTTCCTCCTTCCGCTCGCCCCCCCTCCGCCGTCCCCCCTCCGCCGTCCCCCCTCCGCCGTCCCCCCTCCGCCGTCCCCCCTCCGCCGTCCCCCCTCCGCCGTCCCCCCTCATACCCCTATTTCCCCTGGGAGCAGCACACGTCGGAGCGTGCGAAGCTCGCCTCACAAGCCCGTCTTTTCCTTCTCCCCCTCCCCCCTTCTTCCTGCCTCTTTCCTCCCCGCCCCCCTTCCCCTTCCCTCTCCCCCCCCCACTCCCCCTGGGAGCAGCACACATGGGAGCGTGCGAAGCTCGCGCAGACCCTGGATCGAGTGGGTACGTGGGACGGGGGGAGAGGGCAGCGGGGCTAGCAATAGAGGGGAAAAAAATCAAGGGTTTAGGGAAGAGGGGTTTTGGAGGGAAGGGGTGGGGGAGGAGGGTGGGGGTAGACGTTTGGGAGACAGATGAAGCCACCCGGAGGGGGGGGGATGGGTGGGTGGGTTGGGCGGGGGGGAAGGTGGAGGGAAATGGGGGTTGGGTTGGAAGGAGCAGCTTAAATCTAACTGCCGTTTTTTCAAAAGCGCTTCAGAGCTCAAAATACTGTTCTCCTCCCTCTTCACTTCCCTTGTCTTCCCTTCTCTTATCTTCTCTTCTCTCTCCTTCTCCCTCTCTCGTCTCTCTTCCTGCCTGCCTCCCCATGCTGCCACCCTCCGCCCCCGGCCCCTGGCAGTGGTTGCAACGGACGATGAGAGAATAGCCCGATGCTGCGAGGGGTTTGGCGCAGAGGTCATCATGACGTCAGCAGCGTGCAGCAATGGTGAGGCTGTGGTGTTTCTGCGAGGATGTGAGCATGTGAGGATGTGAGCATGTAACGCCACAGGCTGTAACGCCACAGGCTGTGGTATGGGACCATGTAATTAGCGGTGTGTATGCCTGCATGCAAGAAAGAACGCATGCATGCATGGAAAGGTCTTCATGGCGCCTAGAAAACGCGTGCATGGAAGGAAGGGTGTGTTTTATGAACGTGTCATGAACGTTGTCGCACTTACATGGTTGACTGAACACACGGACACTCTAACATGCCGCCTCCCTTCCTTTCGAACCAACACGACAGGTTCGGAACGGTGTGCCGAGGCGGTGGAGAAGCTCAAGGGCCAATGGGACGTGGTTGTGAACATTCAGGGGGACGAGCCGCTTATTGACCCCGCTACCATCGATGCTGTGGTCATTGCGCTACGGGTGCGTGCTGTTGTCGTTTTGTTACAGATGATCCTAGGTTAACTGGTAGTTCTGCAACTTGAATAGCTCTAGGGTGGGTTACCTGGTTATTCTGTTGTGAACATTTTTTGGGACGAGGCTCTTATTGAGCCTCTTGTCGAGAAATAAATGACTCGTCCCAATCACCAGGAAGCTACGGGCGCAGCAGACTCGAAAGAAGCCACTGTTCCGGGCTTGAATCGACGCACCCTCAAGCACCCTCCCTCAAGCACTCCTTTTTTGTTCCTCGAATTTTCTCAGGAAGCACCCGAGGCAGTGGCAGCAACGGCAGTGGCTGACCTGAAAGCAGCCTCGGCTCCAGACCCGAACCGAGTGAAGTGTGTTGTGGACAACAGGGGCTTTGCACTCTACTTCTCCCGCGCGCTCATTCCCCATAACAGGTTCGTGCCACGACTGATTCCAATAGATTGTTCTCCTGGATGCATCATTCGTTTCTCAATGTTACAACCTCTCTGTTAGAATATAACATTCTCTTTATCCTACTTAGTTTCTTATACTTGGGCATATATAACCAAGTTGGGCTATCTAGGGGTGTAGATGAATGTTGGGGTTGGATATTCAACCATCGAGGTGTTCAATCTTGTTGGTCTTCCACCAACATTATTGGCTCCTCAATTGTTGGTGGTCCAACCTTCCCAAACCATCATTGGTCCAACCAATAATGGTTGGGTTGGTCAAGCCCCTCTTGACCTGGGATTGGCTCCCTAGGTATATAACCCTGTACCACCTCCCTCTATAGTCAATTCTTCTCTCTACATTTTCTAATAGTCTCGTCCTCCCCGCTTCATGTGATCACTGCTGTTTTCAACAGACCTGCTCAGTGTCTGTCTTGCGTTGCCGTTTTTCTCAAGTTTTGGTAGGAAAATCCTCTCCCTTTTTGGTGCCATGGTCTTTTATCGCCCCTCTCCCCCGTCCTCCCCCGAAACTCTTTGCTGCAGGGACGGAGTGCCTCATCCCGGCTTCCCCTACATGCTGCATCTGGGTCTGCAGGTTGCCTTGCCATTCCACAGCATCACTTTCCACCCCCATTCCACCCAAACCTCCTATCCATCTCGTCCTTCCCCTCCTTCTATCTCTTTGCTGCAGGGACGGAGTGCCTCATCCCGGCTTCCCCTACATGCTGCACCTGGGCCTGCAGGTTCGTTCCTCCCCCCTGCTCTCTCTCCCCCTCCCCCCAGCACGCGTGACATGCTTGACATGCGTAACATGCGTGACACGCGTGACACATGCGTGACATGCGTGACACATGCATGACACATGCGTGACATGCGTGACACATGCGTGACATGCGTGACACATGCGTGATATGCATGATATACGAACCCGGCCTTGTTTCCTGCGTCTTTAGACCTATGACACCCCCTTCCTAGTGCACTACAGGGCGTCTGAAGTAGGGGGGCTGGGCGAATGGCTCTGAGGAGCCTCATAACACCATACCCCCCACCTTCCCCCTCCATCCCCCCATCTCTCCCCCCATCACCCCCCCCTCTACCCCCACCTTCCCCCTCCCCACCTTCCCCCTCCCCCCCCTTCCCCCCGCTTTCCGACACTGCACTCCTAGCGCACTACAAGGCATCTGAATCAGTGCCCCCGATTTCTTTCGAAGGCCTTATTTTGCCCCCTCCTCCTTCCCCACTGTCCTCCTCCGTGAGGAGTCTATTTTTAGGCGCCTAAAAAATAGACTCCTCTTGAAGGCCCCTTATTTTGCCCCCTCCTCCTTCCCCACTGTCCTCCCACCATGCCTCATCTCCCCTCGCTGGCATTTAGGCCTACGACGCTGCATTCCTGGCGCACGACAGGGCGTGTGAACCGGGGCGACTGAAGTTTTTGCAGGGCCAGTGAATCCGCCCCCCAGCCTCTCCTCGTCTCCCTTCATTCCATCCAGGCATACGACGCTGCCTTCCTCGATTTTTAAGGCACCTAAAAAATCGTTCCATCCAGGCATACGACGCTGCCTTCCTCGCGCACTACAAGGCACGTGAGGCGGGGCAACTGGAGAAGGAGGAGCAGCTGGAGCAGCTAAGGATACTGGAGCAGGGGCACAGGGTCATGAGAGGGATTTGCGCGGCCTCACAGCACCACCTCTCCGCCCCTTTCGCCCCCTCTCTCCCCTCCCTCCCGCCCTTTTCCCTCCCCGTCACCACCCAGGCCTATGACGCTGCATTCCTTGCGCACTACAGGGCGTCTGAGGCGGGGCGACTGGAGGAGGAGGAGCAGCTGGAGCAGCTAAGGATGCTGGAGCAGGGGCACAGGGTGAAGGTGGTGAAGGTGGCACATGCAGCCCATGGCGTGGACGTGCCTGGTGATGTTAAGCGGATAGAGGAGCTCCTGCTGAGAGGAGGGCGATGAGGGGCTTGGGGGAGGGCGATGAGATGTGTCAAGGCATGGTTGGAGCATGAGCAAGGTGGCGCATGCAGCCCATGTCGTGGACATGCCTGCGGACATCAAGCGGATAGAGGAGCTCCTGCTGAGAGGAGGGCGATCAAGTCTCGGATGGGAGGAGTGCGATCAAGTCTTTGAAAGGATGGCATGCATGCGTGCATGCATCAAGCCACGCTGACATGCTTGCTGGGAGCCACTAGAAGGTGCTCCTGACAGGCTCAAATAGACTCAAGGAAGGACCACCTTAGCTCTCAGCTCAAGGTGGGTAGGTAGGCTTAGAAGAGGGATTAGCAGCCCGCCTGGTTATAGACAGAAGACTGCTGACGGAAAAGCAGTCTTGATTCTTGACCCCTTTAGTTTAGGTAGGTGAGTGTCTTGCTTCTTGCCTGATCCTGTAGCTACTCTTCCGCTACAATCCCTCTAGGGGAAAGAGAACGCTGCTTCTGCGAAGTATCTACCGCGCGTAAATGGAAGATGCAGCTTTATGTGACAAGTGTGATAATTGATTTCATCCACTCACTCCTGGGGTACACGTCACAAACTAGCAAAACACGGGCCAATGTGGGCCGCAACATCTTTCTTTAGAGGCCGACGGCCAAGAAGACCTTTCAGAGAGTGACAACACAACACACAGCGGCAAAGAATGGGCTCATTTTTTAGAATTATAAAAAATGACTCCACTGCAACCATTCTGTCGCAGACTAACTCCTTCCTCGGCTCCTTGGAACTCCTCCACTCGGCCTGCCTTCAAGTCCGCTTTTACCATCCAGAATCTCCCCTTCTTGAGGCGCCTAAAAAAAAACTCCTCCACTCGGCCTGCCTTCAAGTCCGCTTTTACCATCCAGAATCTCCCCTTCTTGAGGCGCCTAAAAAAAAACTCCTCCACTCGGCCTGCCTTCAAGTCCGCTTTTACCATCCAGAATCTCCCCTTCTTGAGGCGCCTAAAAAAAAACTCCTCCACTCGGCCTGCCTTCAAGTCCGCTTTTACCATCCAGAATCTCCCCTTCTTGAGGCGCCTAAAAAAAAACTCCTCCACTCGGCCTGCCTTCAAGTCCGCTTTTACCATCCAGAATCTCCCCTTCCTATCCCTCCCTCTTCCCCCCTGCACTTTTCTTAGTCGCCACGACTAACCCCCTCTCCCTGACCCCGCTCCCTCCCCTCTCACCCCCCATCCCTCTCTCCTTCCCTACAGCTGCTCTATTCCGCCATCCTTTTTCTCCCTCCATCTTTTTTTGCAGGGTGTTTTTGAGAATTCTCAAAAACTCCCTACTCCAGCTGCTCTATTCCGCCATCCTTTTTCTCCCGCCTCCATCCCTCCCCCCGTCCCCCTCCCCCCCCTCCTCCTCCTCCTCGTCCAGATAGATATTTTCCGCCATCTGCCAGATCTGCAGGATATTATCCTCCGCCACGCTGGCAACCACCCAGTCATCGTTGCCGTTCCACGAGAAGTCGGAGATCTTGCTCGTGTGCCCCCCGTGGATGAACAGTAACTCAGGCGGCCCATCCTCCGCGTCGTCTGGTGACTGCTGCTCGCCGATCCTGTTTGAGTGAGGATAAGGGAAGGGGGGGGGGAGAGAAAGGGGTGGGGGAGGGGGGGGGAAAGAGAGGAGAGATGAGGCAGGCAAGGAGTGGTTTGCTCGTGTAGCCCCCGTGGATGAACAGTAGCTCGGGCGGCGAGTCCTCCGCGTCGCCTGGGGACTGCTGCTCGCCGAACCTGCGAGGAAGGTTCGGATTGGGTTCAGGTAGGGAAGGTGGGGAAGGGATGGCTCGGGAGAGGGAGTTTTTGGGCAGTTGTTGCAAGGGTGGTCAGTGGGATGTGCAGGGGGCGCATGTGGGTGAGAAGAAGTAAGAAAGCCACGAAGTTTAACATAAACATAAAAGCAACTGATTATATATACAGTTACAATGTGAACCCTGACTGTGTACACATATATATGTATATATATATTGTCTACGCATATATACATAGAAAATATACAGTACCTGCTGAGATCCCAGACCATGAGGCGCCTGTCGGCCCCACAGGATGCCATGATGGTCTCGTTCTGCGGGCTCCACCCCACCTGAAACACCTCCTCCCTGGTCACAAGGGGGGGGGGGGAGTAACAAGGGGGGGGGGGGAGTAACAAGGAGAGGGGGGGTAACAAGGGGGGGGGGGGGAGTAACAAGGGGGGGGAGAGTAACAAGGGGGGGGGAGTAACAAGGGGAGGGGAAGTAACAAGGGGGGGGGGAGTAGTAACAAGAGGGGGGGGAGTAACAAGGGGGGGAGAGTAACAAGGGGGGGGAGTAACAAAGGGGGGGGGAGTAACAAGGGGAGAGGGGTTGTGAGCACCTGTGAAACACCTCCTCTCTGGCCGTTGAGGGAGAGGGGGGGGGGGGGGGGGGAGAGAGAGTGAGTAACAAGGGGAGAGGGGTTGTGAGCAACAAGGGGAGAGGGGTTGTGAGCTCCTGGTGACTTTTGAGTCGACTCAAGAGTGAGTAACAAGGGGAGAGGGGTTGTGAGCAACAAGGGGAGAGGGGTTGTGAGCTCCTGGTGACTTTTGAGTCGACTCAAGAGTGAGTAACAAGGGGAGAGGGGATGAGAGGCAACCCCGCAGGAGGGGATACGGAGGAAGGGAAGGAGGGTAGGACATACTAATGTTACACAAGCACTTGGATGTTACAAGCCTATACGCACAAATGCACTCGCGAGTGCTGCACGAAGGTGTGCAGTCGCTTGGACAGGTTGCAAATGTCGTGCAGCGCCACTGTCTTGGCAACAGCCGACAGCATATGCTGTTCCAGACACGCAAACGTTACCATTTTGAGGCGCCTCAAAACTAGGCTCCAGACACGCAAACGTCACCATGTTATGAATGATGTATGCCGGCACGAGCGCTGCACAAGTGCGGCACAAACGTACGAGTGCTGCACGAAGGTGTGCAGTCGCTTGGACAGGTTGCGAATGTCGTGCAGCGCCACTGTCTTGTCGGCTGAACCTGTCACTAGCACCCACTCGTTGAAGGGGTTGAATGAGAGGCAGTTCACCTGGGGGGGAAGAATGTGCATGGATGTGCAGCAAGAGAGGAGAGTCTGGTTGAATGGGCCAAGAGGGGGAGGAATGAGGGGCTTTCCAACTGACTCTGATGAACCCCCTCCCCTCCCCCGCTCCCCTCCCCTCCCCTTCCTTCCCCCCCTTCGTCCTGTCTTCCATCCCACCAGTATCAACTCATCGATCGGCTCTAAAGCCAAGCAGTTGACTCCACTGATCAACGTTGACTAGCAGTGACCCACCTCTGCAGGGTGCGCGGTAACCGCGTGGGCGGGTTTATCGACAGCGGAGGAGCGCAGGTCCCACAGCAGCAGCTGCTGGTCGTCGCCCACCGACCCAAAGAGGTACTCGTGGCGGCAGTGCCATGCCACGTCCTCCACCACTCCTGTGTGCGCCTGGTGGTGAACAAGAGAAGGGGTGGCGTGGCAGGGGAATGAGGATACATGCAGCAGCAGCTGCTGGTCGTCCTCCACCGACCCATACAGGTACTCGTGGCGGCAGTGCCACGCCACGTCTTCGACAACGCCTGCGTGCGCCTGGATGAGGATACACGGGACAGGCGCAAGGGCGGGGGAGCAAGGGCGGGGGGACTGCTTTTGAGGCGCCTCAAAAGCCGCCACGTCTTCGACAACGCCTGCGTGCGCCAGGTTTAGGATACAAGGAGCAAGGGCGGGGTGATGGAAATGGGTACACTGGCAGGTGCTGGTCGTCGCCCACTGAGCCAAAGAGGTACTCGTGGCGGCAGTGCCGTGCCACGCCCTCCACCACTCCTGTGTGCGCCTGATTTGGTAAGAGGGGAGGAAGAGGGAAAGGGGGAAGAGGAGGGAGATCACAGTGTGTGAGCCCAGCTGCTGCTGCTGCTGCTCGCCCCCCACTGAGACAAACAGGTACTCGTGGCGGCAGTGCCACGCCACGTCCTCCACCACTCCCGTGTGCACCTCGTATTGCATGGGGGGGAGGGGAGGAGTGTGGAAGGGGAGCAAGGGCCTGGTGTCCCGGGGAAGCCTAGAGGCCCGGGTAAATGGCATGGCAAGACCCCCCCCCCCCCCTCACCCTGTATATGTGCTTCGCCTCGACCACTTTGTCCGCCTTAGTAGCAGACCCAATGTCCCACACGCAGATCTGCATCTCGTCTTTCCGGCTAAGCCGGTGCCTTGTACCCCATCTCCCCCCTTCCCCCCTTCCCCCCCCCCCTCCCCCGTGTCATCCTTTACAAGCCATGTCTCCATGTGCACTCACCCGGTATATGTGCTTCGCCTCGACGACTTTGTTCGCCTTAGTAGCCGCTCCGATATCCCACACGCAGATCTGCATGTCGTCTGACCCGCTCAGCAGGTGCCCGGCGCGGAAGGGGCTCCAGGACAGCCCGTACCCCTCGGTTTTGTGGCCCCTTAACCGTAGGTCGGGGTTGCATGTGCCTTCCTGGGGGGGCTTTGAGGGGTGTCTGCTGTAGTCAAACACAAACACCTGTGGGTGGTGGAGGGGCGGGGGGGGGGGGGGGTGGGGCGTGCAAGGGAAGCACAGTTGCTCGGCAGGTGCCCGCCCGGCGCAGAAGGCGCTCCAGGACAGCCCATACCGCTCGGTCTTGTGGTCCCTAAGCCTCAAATCGGGGCTGCAGGTGGCTTCTTGGGATGGCTTGGAGGGGTGTCTGCTGTAGTCAAACACAAACACCTGTGGGGGGAGGGGAGGGTTGGGCGTACAGACCAAACACAGCTGCTCAGCAGGTGCCCGGCGCGGAGGGGGCCCCAGGAGAGGCCATACCCCTCGGTCTTCTGGCCCCTCATTCTAAGCTCAGGGCTGCAGGTGCCTTCCTGGGGGGGCTTGGAGGGGTGTCTGCTGTAGTCAAACACAAACACCTGCGCGGGAGGGTGAGGCGGAGGGAGAAGGGAGCGGGTGGGGGGAGGGGCGAGAGGGTAGGGAGTAGCACAGGGAAAGCACATCCGATCAGCAGGTGCCTGGCGCGGAAGGAGCTCCAGGACAGTTCGTACCCCCCCGTCCGAACAAGCAAAGGAGCAGCCATACCTCGCCAGACACTGTTTTGGTGGCGATTAGAAACGGGTTCAGCAACAAGTACCCGTTATGAGGCCCCTCAAAAGAAGAAAAGAAGCAGACGTACCTCAGCAGGCACAGCCTTTGTGGCATGTACCTACTATAACACTGTACCCGTTACAAGGCGCCTCAAAAGAAGCAGACGGACCTCGGCGGACACGGTCTTGGTGGCGATGAGAAAGGGGTTCTGCGGCATGTAGCGCGCGCGGTTCACCTCCCCCTCGTGGTTGATCTGCTGCACCACTTGCACCTGCGGCACGGTGAAGGGAGGGAGTAGGGGGGGGCATGTTATGGAGGGGAACGGCCCAGCAGTAGAGTGTGTCTGCCGGTTCACCTCCCCCTCGTGGTTGATCTGCTGCACCACTTGCACCTGCGGCAGTGCGAGTACGTGTGTGCTTGTGTGTGTGCGTGTGGGGGGTGGCGGGGAGGGGAGAAAGGGGAGGGAAGTCAGAGTTTGGCGGTTCACCTCCCCCTCGTGGTTGATCTGCTGGATCACTTGCGCCTGCTGGATCACTTGCGCCTGCTGGATCACTTGCGCCTGCTGGACCACTTGCGCCTGCTGGATCACTTGCGCCTGCTGGATCACTTGCGCCTGCTGGATCACTTGCGCCTGCTGGACCACTTGCGCCTGCTGGATCACTTGCGCCTGCTGGATCACTTGCGCCTGCTGGACCACTTGCGCCTGGGGCCGCGGGCATGCATGAGGTAATTCTGCTCGCCACTTCCCCAACCACCCTCGCTCATACCCTCACCTGGCGCAGACACCGCCTTCTCACCTTAGCGCCCCCAGCGCCGAACCCCCCAACGTCTGCCTTCTGGTCGTCGTATTGTCTGGCGTCCGTCTCCGTGTCCTCTAGCGGCAGCTGCACGTCGACGAGCATGAGGTAGTTCTGCTCGTTGTCCGACGTGTGCGTGCCCAGCACCATGCGCTGCACGGAGTAGTCCTTCCCTGGTGGCTCCTGCCGCTCTGTGGAGGGGGAGGGGCAGGAGGACGAGGTGAGGGGCAGGGGGACGAGGTGAGGGGCAGGGGGACGAGGTGAGGGGCAGGGGGACGAGGTGACGGGCAGGGGGACGAGGTGACGGGCAGGGGGAAGGTAGCGGGAGATTGGCGTTCGCGCGCGCGCGCGCGTCGCGACGAGTTCGTAGAGAAACGGGCTATTTTGCGAGTCGATTCGAGAATAGTCTGTACGACGGCCAATTCGGCGCGGGTGCGACGAGGAGGTCGCACAGGAACGGCAACGTTCGAATCGACCCATCTAAACTGAAAGACAGGAGCGCACCTGGCATCCATTGCACCGTGAGCGACGGCCACTCGAGCGCGTGCGTTATAACGAGGTCGTATAGAAACGGGGTGTTCTTCTTCCAGATCTTATACTCCTCGTTAATCACCCGCTCCTCCCCCTCGTCCGGGTACTCCTCCTCCTCCCGCGCCATTCTGCCCGCTCCCGCTCTTCAAAGTGTCTTTTAGTCAGCACTTAACCTTTCGTGTCTAACAAACGGCTTAAGCTTATGGGCCTTTCAAACTTGAAGAGCGTGCTGAAAGGCTCGGATCACGACGGACCGACGCGATGTATAGCGGCACTACAAGTACGAAAGGGACTTCTAAACAAGTACACGTTGTATGAGTCCAACGGCCGAGCACTATGTCGTTCGGAATAGCGCACAAACTAGAACGTCAGTTGCCAGACCTCGATCTAGAGCGCTACGCCGGCCTGGACGGGTCGGAAGGAACCTAGAGGGGATGAAAGGAGTGGTTCGAGAAAGTAATTCGGGTGGAAATATGCTGCCTGCACTGCGGATTGCGGTTCAGCCGCAGAACCAGCAGCAAGCCCAGCGGAAAAGCTAGGGAAAACTTTGGCGCGCGAATTTGTGAGTTTGAACTGGTTGGAATTTTACATTTTTACTTATTGATTTTGTGCTGCTTGTAGACATCGGCCTATTAGCTCAGCTGGTTAGAGCGTCGTGCTAATAACGCGAAGGTCACAGGTTCGAGACCTGTATGGGCCAACCATCACATGTGTTGATTATCTTTTGTAGTCCGAGTACTACATGCAACTTCCCCAACATCTCCGATACAAGCACAAGCAAGATTCGAGACACATCCTTCTCATGCTTTGTGACTGGGCTTCTGGAGTTTTGTTTGCTTGACACCCCTCTCAACCGTTTCAGAATTTTAATTGAACGTTCAACAACACAACATATCTTAACGAACCGCAATCCAACATATCAGTCTGTGGCCTTCCAATAACTGCTCGCCTATCCAGCAACCTTCAACCTAAATATCTCCTTGCCGGGCATTTCCCCACAGCCGTTATCCCCTGCACAAGCTCATTTCCCCAACAACCATTATCGAGTCCAGGATACTGACAGCTGCCTTCTCTTACCTACCGCCACTAACCTAGATATAATCCCGTACTGCAGTCCGTTCGTTCTCGTCCGAGCGTTCTTGCACATTCTTATTTTACTGGACCGTTTCTCTTCCTATTCTTTGAGACGTTATAAACGGCAGCGCGTATTTTAAAAGAATGGCGGCGACGGAGGCACCCCCGCGGCGCATAGTGGTGGCGATCGACGACTCCACGGGCAGCACGGAGGCGCTGCAATGGGCGCTCGACAACATGCAGCTACAGCCGGGTGGGTGCTGCAGTTGATAAGAAAAAGCATGGAAAACAATGCTTCTGAGTCGACTCAAAAGGAAAACAATGCCAGGCAGTCACCGGCTCACAGCCGGGCGGGTGCTTACTCCGTGTGTAATGAGTCGTGTAATGAGTCGTGTAATGAGTCGACTCAAAAATCGTCTCATTACACAAGGCCAGGCAGTCACAGCCGGGCGGGTGCTTACTCGTACGTCGTTGCTTCTGCCCCCTCTCCCTCGCAGGTCGCGACACCATCCTTCTCGTCAACACCCAGTCGTATTCCGCCTGCCCTGTCCACACCCGTTCCTTTACTGCGTAACTCGTCATTACATCGCTCGTGCTCTCCCGCTCTGTCCGCTCTCCCTTGCAGGTCGCGACACCATCGTTCTGGTCAACACCCAGTCGTACTCCGCTGCGCCCACCTCGCGACCAGGTGAGTCAATGCGGCATGCGTGCTCTATGACGCCCCACCGCTCGCACCACCTCACCTTCAACCGCACCAAGCCAACCGCACCAAGCCAACCGCACCAAGCCAACTGCACCAAGCCAACCGCGCCACCGCACCAAGCCAGCCGCGCCACCGCAACAAGCCAACCGCGCCACCGCACCAAGCCAACTGCGCCACCGCACCAAGCCAACTGCGCCACCGCACCAAGCCAGCCGCGCCACCGCAACAAGCCAACCGCGCCACCGCACCAAGCCAACCGCGCCACCGCACCAAGCCAACCGCGCCACCGCACCAAGCCAGCCGCGCCACCGCAACAAGCCAACCGCGCCACCGCACCAAGCCAACCGCGCCACCGCACCAAGCCAACCGCGCCACCGCACCAAGCCAACCGCGCCACCGCACCAAGCCAACGCGCCACCGCACCAATCCAACCGTGCCACCGCAACAAGCCAACTGTGCCACCGCACCAAGCCAACCGCGCCACCGCACCAAGCCAACCGCGCCACTGCACCAAGCCAGCCGTGCCACCGCAACAAGCCAACCGCGCCACCGCGCCAAGCCAACCGCGCCACCGCAACAAGCCAACCGCGCCACCGCGCCAAGCCAACCGCGCCACCGCACCAAGCCAGCCGCGCCACCGCACCAAGCCAACCGCGCCACCGCACCAAGCCAACCGCGCCACCGCACCAAGCCAACCGCGCCACCGCACCAAGCCAACCGCGCCACCACACCAAGCCAGCCGCGCCACCGCAACAAGCCAACCGCGCCACCGCACCAAGCCAACCGCGCCACCGCACCAAGCCAACCGCGGCACCGCACCAAGCCAACCGCGCCACCGCACCAAGCCAGCCGCGCCACCGCAACAAGCCAACCGCGCCACCGCACCAAGCCAACCGCGCCACCGCACCAAGCCAACTGCGCCACCGCACCAAGCCAAACGCGCCACCGCACCAATCCAACCGTGCCACCGCAACAAGCCAACTGTGCCACCGCACCAAGCCAGCCGCGCCACCGCACCAAGCCAACCGCGCCACCGCACCAAGCCAGCCGCGCCACCGCAAAAAGCCAACCGCGCCACCGCGCCAAGCCAACCGCGCCACCGCACCAAGCCGGAACATACACGTCCCACCCTTGCTGGCCTCTCCCCTCGCCTTCCCTCCAATCACAGGCTTCCACGTGTCCCAGGGGGAGATCCTGGCGGACACTCAGAGGAAGAAGGACGCCGGGTACAAGCTGCTGGAGAAATACAAAGCCAAGTGCGAGGAGCGCCAGGTGAGGATGGGGGGGGCGAGGAGCGCCAGGTGAGGATGTGGGGGGCGAGGAGCGCCAGGTGAGGAATAGGTGTGTTGAGTGCCTGGTGGGAGGATTCAAAAACAGGTGATTGGGGAATTCCACAGAAGAAGGGCGCCGGGTACAAGCTGCTGGAGAGATACAACGCCACGTGCGAGGAGCGGCAGGTGAGGGCAGTGCGAGGAGTGCCATGTAAGGGACGGGGCGAGGAGCGCAAGGCGAGTAAGTAATAGGTCTCTTTTTGGGTCTGTAAAAAATTCAGGTAAAAGGCGGTTTAGAGGAAGAAGGGCGCTGGCTAGACGCAGCTGGAGAAATACAAAGCCAAGTGCGAGGAGGGCAAGGTGAGGAGAGAGGGTTTACTTTGACAGAGTTCAAGTTTGTAACCATAAGTGTGAAGAGTGCAAGGTGAGGAGTTTGAGAGAGTAGCAAGTTCTGCAGCAACGAGCTCCAGTGCAGGCATAGTAGCAGAGTGCAGGCATAGTAGCAGAGTGCAGGCAGGATTCGATTTTTGAGGGGCTTCAAAAATCGAGTGCAGGCAGGATTCGTTGACCTTTTGCTCGCTTTTCTTCTTCACCTGTTCCCCCCCCCTCCCCCCCCCTCCCCCCCCCCTCTCAACCTTCTTTGCTGACGTGGCAGCTGCTGTGTGAGACACGTGTGATGATAGGCGATGCCAGGCTGTCGATATCAGAGGCAGCAGAGCAGGCCAAGGCGGATGCAGTGGTGGTGGGGAGCCGGGGGCATGGGGCTCTCAAGAGGTGAGTTGTGAGGGGCATGGGGCTCTAAAGAGGGTGTTGGAGGGTAGTTATGCTGCATGCAGCTCTTGGTGAGGCAGCAGAGCAGCAGGCCAAGGCGGATGCGGTTGTGGTGGGGAGCCGAGGGCACGGGGGACTCAAAAGGTGGCATTTGGGGGGGCTCAAAAGGTGGCATTTGGGGGGGCTCAAAAGGTGGCATTTGGGGGGGCTCAAAAGGTGGCATTTGGGGGGGCTCAAAGGGTTTGGTTTGGTGAAATCCAGCAGGTGTGGGCAGATAACATTGAGGGGGTGGGGGGAAGGGCGCTCTGTGAATTATATTGAAAGGCCTCAAATGAAACTGATTTGCGTGTGGCTCATGTGCTGTTCTACTTCCCCCCACCCCCTAAATGTTATCTGCCCACACCTACAGGCTTGTCCTGGGCAGTGTGAGTGACTCCTGCACGGCCCATGCCAAGCGCTGTTACCCTTGCTCCCCTCTCCCCTCCTGTGGCCGCCCTTGCTCCCCTGCAGGCTCGTGCTGGGCAGTGTGAGTGAGTACTGCGCGCACCACTGTCCGATGCCCGTCATAATTGTCAGACCCAACAAGATCGGGCAGCCCGACACTGCTGTGCCCATGGATTGACTTGACGCCCTTGGGTTGACAGTGCAACTTTCAATGTTACTGATGTGCATAACTGCCGGCCTGCTATATGGTATTAGTACGCAATTGCCCCAAGGAACTGCTGTCCAGTCAGATGCCTGGGTAGTAATAGTTCAGTGCATTGCTGAGATTGTCACTTCTTGTGATGAATCTGCTTTTGAGTCAACTCGAAAGCGATTTGCTGACCAGTCAGATGCCTGTGATAGTGATAGTTCAGAGCATTCCTAAGATAGTCATATTATCTGCAGTCATCTTTTTCTTCGGTTACAAAAAACAGTAAGGCTATGCGGTTTTACCACTAGCTCATTGTAGTTAGTAAAATGAGTGAATGGACTCTACGGGCTAATAATGCCATAAGATTTCAACGTGTCTGAACAAAGGCTGAAGGTTTGAACCCTACAGGGCTACTATATCACCACAAGATATGCAACAGTCATGGCAAAACAATGGCAGTACAGTTTTACCACCTACCTATGCTGCAGCACAGTGCAGGCAGGGAGCATGTGAAACAGATTACCGTAACAAGGACCTTTCACAGCAGGTGAGGTACAGCTAACCTCCTGTCATCTTCAATCAATCCCTGCGCGTGCGTCTCCTGACCTTAGTCTCAGCCTCCTCCTTCACCTCATCCTCCACACCTGCAGGCTGGGCTTCCGAGGCTGCAGGTATGGCTTCCGAGGCTGCAGGCTTGGCAGGCTCCTCCTCGGTAGCCGGCTCTGCTGCCTCCTCAGCTGTGCCCTTGGCAGGCTCATCCTTTGACTCGACCTCACCCTCGTCCTTGGCCTCTTCCTTGCTCTCCTCGGGAGCATCATCAGGTGCAGAGATGTCCTCCTTCTTGGCCCTCTCGAGTGACACCTGCCAGGGAGGAATAGAGGGAGCCCAAGAGAGCAAGGGGTGAAATAGTTCTTAGCATCTAGCTCTCCTTCGGGAGCCTTCTCAGGTGACATCTTCCTTCTTGGCCCTCTCTAGTAACACCTGTTGGGAACGCACAGACACAGAGGAAGCGAGATTGGAATGGGAGAGCAGTCAGCTTGGAAACAGGACTAGGGTTTCGACACAGCAGACAGGCTTCACTGAGAACATCAGTGCTAACAGCAGAAGCGGCAGAGAGGACAGGACAATAAAGTCTTTCTGCCCACCTGGTCTGAGGGCCGCTTGGGCGAGGAGAGCAGCACGGTGACGAGCAGCAGGAAGGGCACGAGCGGGATGAGGATGAGGATGCCCACGGTGGCGTACGGGTACTTGGCTGCTTCCACCAGAATGGCCTGGAGTGGCGAGAAGGGGCAGGGCAGTCGGGGGTGGTGTGTTGGTCAATTCAATGATGAGGAGGGGGCGGTGGCGCATGGGTCCTTGGCAGTTGTATTTTGAGTCGACTCAAAATACACCTTTCCGTCAATGCAATGATGAGGAGGGGACAGTGGCACATGGGTACTTGGCAGTTTCCACCAAAGTTGGAGATGTAAAGCAGGAGAAGAGTGAAAGAAATGTGGTGAGAGAACAGGTGGGAGCAGGGGGCAGCAGGGGCGGAGAGGAAAAGTGGCATTTAAGAGAGAGGGAGTGAGGGAGGGGGGGTGGGGCGCGGAGGGTTTGGGGGGGGGGGAAGAGACGAGGTGTTGTGGGAAAGAGAGAGCGAGCAACGCACCTTGAGCTGTGGGCGCACAGCCGTGAGAGCAGGGGCGTCTGCGACCTTGTGTAGCGTCTCAATGAGCTTGCCCTGCACAGGGGGTCAAGGGAGGGGGGTCAAAGAGGGATGTGAGTGGGGGAAAAGGAGGGGAAGCAACAACTGGGGCAATCAATGAGCTTGAGAGCAGAGGGGCGTCTGCCACCTTGTGAAGCGTCTCAATGAACAAGGGAGGGGCAGGGGAGGGGCAAGGGAGGGAGGAGAACCATTATGGAAACCCTAATAGGCCCTTGAAAGAAGGGGCGTCTGCAACCTTGTGCAGCGTCTCAATGAGCTTGCCCTGCACAGGGGGTCAAGTCAATGGGTCCACGAGAGAGGAGCGAAGGAGCACGAGAGCAAAGAAGCTGAACAGGAGTCAGGCTTGAGGGGCAGACAGCGCCATTCAGTGAAGAGATAGGTACCCTCTTATTCTGGCTACTACCGACCTCAGCTACTACCCCAACGCACACTCATCTCCCGCCTGCCCCTCCCATCTCCCCACCTCCCAGCCGCCCTTCCCAGCGGATTTTTTCTTCAGCTTGATGTCCTCCGCCTCCCGCTTTGCCTGCTCCGCCGGCTTCTCCTCGACATCCACGCCTCGCTCCTCCCTGTCCCAGCACGTACTCTACATTTTAGACTCGCCTCCAGCTCCCTCGAATGTACTGCACCTCACAAGTACTGCTCACTCACCTCCCAGCCGCCCTTCCCAGCGGACTCCTTCTTCAGCTTCGCGTCCTCCGCCTCCCGCTTCGCCTGCTCCGCCGCCTTCTCCTTGGCGAACTTGGGCGCCCACTTCTCCCGCCTGTACTTCTCCGCCACAGCGGGGTCGCTTGTAACGAGGACGTCGTCAAAGAGAATGCCGTCCTGTTGGTGAGGGATTCAAGGATGGATGGAGGTCAAAACGTAACTTGGCAACAATGGTGCGGAGGGGAAAGAAGAGACTGGGGGGGGGGGGGAATCATCCCATCCCAAGGGATTTGAAGTCCACGCGTCGCTCGGTGGATCGTCTGGTCTGTTGCCCGCTCCAGTACGCAAAGCAAACAGCCACCCCTCCCTCCGTTTCCTTCCCATGGTAACTTTTTTAGTCAAACAGAGAAATTGCCCCCTCCTGTGTGTAAAGCAAATTGCTACCCCTCCCTCCGTTTTCTTCCCAAACACCTCCCTCCGTATTCTTCCCATCACTCGCGTCTAAGTCCGACAGGCCTCTCTTTGCTACTGCCACCCTGAGCTTTCACGTACCACCTCTTCGCGTTTCTCACGCCCCATTCCCTTCTTGGACAGTGCCCACTACTCATCCTGTCTACCTCTGCCAGTCGATTCCATTCCCAGTCGCTCGCCAACCACGGCCTCCTCCCACCCTACGACAAAACCCAAAACCCTCCGTAGTCATAACGCATTCCGCCTCCTGAAATCCCCTCGCCCTGCACCCACCGACAAGGTCCAGTTTTCGATACCCATACCGGCCACGCTCTCCAGGAGCGAGCGGTCCAGGTGGAAGTAGTCCGGGTTGGGAATGTCGCGCGCCTTCCACACGCCACTGCACGCGAGGTCCCAGCACCGCAGCCCTTTGAATCACCGACATGGTCCAGATCTCGATGCCCACAGCCAGCTTGCTCTCGACGTCCGGCCGGTGCAAGCTGTTCGTCCTACTTCTACGTGGCTGTTCTCCTATCAATCTCTTCCCAACCCTTCGCCCCTGCACTTACCGACATGGTCCAGATCTCGATGCCAACAGCGGCCACGCTCTCCAGGTGCGGGCGGTCGAGGTGGAAGTAGTCCGGGTTGGGGATGTCGCGGGCCTTCCACACGCCCTTGTACGCGGGGTTGTCGATGAGCGGCGCAGTCCACTTGCCCTTGTACGCGGGATTGCGCTTCATGGGTCGCTTCCACTCGCCGCACCCGGGCGCCTCCTCGCACTTGGGGTTGGGCGCCTTGGGCGGCTCCCACTCGCCGTCCTCCTCCTCGTCCCAATCGTCCGGCTTCTTCGCCTCGGGGTCGTCCACCTGTCATGGGACGGGAGTTGGCCGGGGGAGAAGCGTATAGAGAGGAATATGAAGATCTTGGGGAAGACACAAGGAGGGAGAAGAAATTATTTTTGGCCTAACATGCCAGTAGAATTTGAGCAAACCTCACCTCCTCGGACCCAGCATCTATCCACTCACCTCCTCTGGCTAGTCGTCCAGCCATCCCTCGGGCTTGTCCCACGGCTCCTAGGATGCGGTAATCCATCTCTAGCAATCCGTCTCTCACCCACCCAGCCCCCCAACCAGCCACTCACCTCCTCGGGCTCGTCGTCCAGCCACCCGTCGGGCTTGGTAGCGTCTTCGTCGGGGATCTCGCGGGGGGCGTCCTCGTCCCAGTCGTCCGGCTTGGTCGCCTGGGGGTCCTTGATCTTGGGCCGCTCGTCCCTGCACGCACACGCACATACACACGCATCGGAATTGCGCGTGCCATTCATAAGTTGCGGGTGACTTTTCACTTCTTGTGGAAAGCGACAGACAATTACACGCATGCAGTGCGTATCCAGGAGACAACCAGGATTCATGTTTTTTAAAACAAGAGAACAACGCACAACATACGTGCTCTAGATCCCCTTAACGCAGCCCCTCAACTCACCAGTCGTCGGGCTTCTTATCCTCGGGGTCTGGAATCGTCTTGGGCAGCAGCACGGGCGGCTGGAAATCCTTTCCAGAAAGCAGATCGCCCTCCGCCTTCTTCTCGCCGTCGATGAGGATGTGCACCGTGTTGTTCGGGTACACCACCGCCGTGTACACGTGCGACAGCTTGTCGTACGTCAGCGGCGAGGCCGGCTGCTTCATGTGGTGCTCCACGTACTCGCCCGTCTTGGGTGACTTGTGGCGGAAAATAAAGTGCACTTTATTCGTCGAGCCGCACTTGTCGGGTCCGAACATGATCGAGTAGGGTGAGTCGTCCTTGAACTGGCTGGGGGTCCAGCCGGCCTCCTGATTGGTCCACGCGAGAGGACAGGTGGGGAAAAACGGGGGTAGCAGGTCAGGTGGACTGACAAAAGGCGGATGAAACGAATAATGGGAAACAGAACAGTGCGCTCAGCACAAGAAATGTTGATCCTAGAAAACCAATCAAGGTTCTATACTATGGTCGCATATTACGGTTGCATACCTGTGGCATGAGGAACTTGAGATACGCGCCGCCGCATTCGAGGTTGTTCTGCAGGCGAACTTCGTACTGCAGCACCAGGGTGTCCGCCTTCGGGTCCACGGGCTCGGGAAGTTCTGCTGCGATGCCGTACTTCTTCGCCTTCTCGGTTACCAGCAGGCCGTAATCGCCCGACGCTTCGCCAGGAGCCCACTTCCATTTGCCTGAGCAGCAGGAATGAGGCGGCATAGATCGACGTTCGACGCAATGTTAAAATCAGAACATCCACATATACAAACCCGTTCGGCAATATAAAATGTGTCACGTAATCCCAAGAAATCGATCATAATTATGGAGTGATTCCTGCGACATACCTGTGTAGTCTGCGCTGCTAGAGACGACCCAGCGACCAGCATAATCCTCGTCGAAGGACTCGAAAAACTCGATCTGCAAATCATGGATCGGAAGGGAAAGCGGGTGCATAGCCAGAGGTATTTGGGGGTGTTGGGGGGTATTTGGGGGAACTTGGGGGTACTTGGAGTCGAACAGCTGAGGAA